GTATAGTACTTATTTTTATAATATTTTTCTTTTAAACCAAAATAAAAATATTATTATTAACATTATGTTAAACTAATTGTTTTTAATAATTTTCAAAATAATTGCTTTGTAATAAATATCATTTTAAATATTTTAGTCTCATGTACATAGTCACATCATATCCGATAAGGTTAGTAACAGCTTAGTAACAGCCAATGGCGTAGGAATTGAGGTACTTTAAAGTAGAAACTGTTTGATTTTCTCGATAGTTTTCTTATCAAATGTGAAAAACCGAAAAAAAAATGAGGAAAAACGAGAAAATGTACGAAATATATTAAAATATTATGATTTTTTTACTTTGCACAACTTTTCTACAAGCAATTTTTCTCCGATTTACAACGATAGCACTTTCTCTGAAAGAAAATCTAACTAGGAATAGATTCTTTAAGGAAGTAATTTTTCAATTTTCCTAACAAATGTAAAAAACCGAGAAAAACATGGGAAAATTGGTACAACATTAAACAAATATTATTAAAGAAAATATATAAAGCCTATTTAATTTTTTTATTATAATATGACATGTATATATATTGTTGACATCACTATCAACTGAACTTCGCAAAGAATCTTTTTTTCGTTAGCAATGTTTTATCGTTGCTTACAGGTATATATTAAATTAACTATAACACTGGCTACACCCCTCTCCATTATCCTTGGACAGCTTTTTTATTATGAACCAGCAATATTCTCGGAGGATTTTAAGTGAATTTGATTTCTGTTTTTTAATCATATTATGGAATCGGTTAAGCTTTATTTTTAAATCATTTTTAATTTTTTTACCTCTAATGCATGTACCTTAAATAAGAATATACTTTTGTTTTTAAAATATAAACCCCCCTTTTTAACACAGATTTGAATAGAAAATATGTGTGTCTTGATATTTTGATATACATAACACTAATATCAGATTTACCGTTTATAAATTATAACCGTTTAAAGTTTAGACTGATGGAGTAGGGTAGAGTGCAATCATGCAATTTATTACTTCTTCAGCTTAAATTTTAAACAGTTTCGATCTCTGAATTTTGGAACTAGGACAACCGGCCAGAAAATAAGGAAATTGAATGGCGGATATATACGAATTTATCTGTAGAGTTATACGTACAAAAGTTATCTGAAACGTTTTTTCGATATTTTAACATTTTTTACCAGTTCTAAAAGCCAGAGATCGACCGTGCAAGTTGTATATTTGAATAAAAATATAAAATCTGCGTAATTTGGTTAGCATAAAGGAGAACGTAATGACGAGTGACAGGGATTTATTATTATTATTACTATTTTTTTTTTCTAATACCGTAGACACCTTTTTTTCGGAGACTCGCGTTTCCTCCCACATGTATAGCACAATAATAATATTACGAGACAAGAATGCTACAACTCACGTGCCAACAGATGCACGTCAACTTTGTCGTAGTTTTTTATTATTATTATTCACAAAGGTTTTCTACCGTCTCGTTACGTATACGTATTTCGTTTAATTTTTTTTCTTAATTTTTTTTTACTTACGTGTCGGAATTTTCTTAACTGCCGATGATGACAGGCTACCTTGTCGTTTTTCATCACGACGACAACGACGACGGAGTACCCGCACACGACTCGACGACGTCGATATAATATAATAAGGATCCCCATCAACGTCACACGACGACAAATAATCTTACGTCGTAATCAGAGTAACGCACGTATTATAGATACCACCTAGTATAATACTCGTTGGTATTATAACAACTCGTATAAAGTTATTGTAGATTATCATCATCGTTTTCAAAAATATATTACATCCACGGAATTCCGTCTGTTTTTTGATTATTATCATTATTTTATTTTCCCTTTTTTTCCTTTTTTACACCCCAAACAATATCGGTTATTATCGTGCGCCCATTGTTATGTAAATTTATCTCCCCATGTATTTTAATATATTATACCTACATCCGAAATAAAAAAAAAAAGTTCACATTAAAATATGTAAATTATCCTAGTTAGTTGCGTACGGGTATTACCTGTATAATATAATAAGGCGATTCGACGAGACTGTTCAAAATCCTTATTGAACAGTTGTTATCTATACTTATACAAGAAAAAAATAAATTTACATTTTTACGCGATGAAGTCCGATACCTATTATAGGTATGTACATATCTTCCTATTAAGTGTAATATATTATAAAGTCCCAATATTTTGCGATACATTAAAAAAATTGTGTTCTTTTATTTCATAGTCGGACCGACTGAATATTTTTCGAAAGCATGCGCGTAAATTACGAGACGCAGTGGCGTATTTATGGGGGGAGATAAGAAAAATATCCCTCTATGGCATTTTTTCATTATCAATATTGTTTGTGCGACTACCTATTTTTAAATTCAAATTCCTTTACTTTTTAGTCAGAAAAATCAACAATTTGATATTTTAATAGTTCCTAACCTAACTTAACCTAAGAATAAAATTCAATCAAAAAAAAAAAACCTGAACGTAAACACTTTCAGACGTTTATCGTTTAATGTTAATGTGTTTAACACAAAACCACTATAATATAAAGAAAATTAAACTAGTACCTACCTTAGAACCTAAATAGTAGATAAATCAATAATAATTATTAAATAACATAAGTACCTGACTATAGGTACACTATTTTGATTTTAATGATAATTTTGAGGCAGATTGAATTATAAATTGCTCACAAAAATGTGTAAATTAAAAATTGATTTTCTTATATGCTGATTACTCGTTACGCAATACGACATGATTTTTAAATTCAATCTTCCTCCTTGGTAAAATTATAAATACGCCGAGACGTGAACCATTTACCATTGCATTATATTATACCTATAATATACACACAAGGGTAAATAATAAATATACAATATGTACAGTTGTATATGAATTATGATTTACGATAATTTGTAAGTTAGCCCGGACAAGTTACCTTGTTTGGTTATTGGCTTTTATCCATATACCTATAATATAGTAAAAAAAAAGTTTATATAATATTACAACGATAATAGCTAGCAGCCTCTATATTATTATTATCATCGTTTTAGTGTTATTCTTGATTATAAACAACGTAGTTAAATATTATTATCGTACGATACCCACCTAACTCTATAATCTTTTAAAAGGGTTGGGTTGCGATACGCGCCCACGATTGCTGCAGTATATTACATTATTATAACAGCCGTTCAATGTCCATTTTTGAATATAGTACTTATATGTCCTAACATAGTATACAGGGTGATTAAGACAATAATGTATCATTTTTTTTTGGGGGGGGAACAATATTGTTTAAGATACCCACACAGTTCTAAAATATTACATTAAAATGTTTTTAATTGTATCACCATATATTAGTTCTTTATTAAACTTGGTGCATTAGTGATAAAATTCGCGTCATAATCAAATTTTGATTTTCAATTTTTAATCTGTGTCGATAATGACGGAAATATTAGGTAAACTGCAAATTACTACAAATTATTATTAAATTAATTGACGGCAGAGCAATTGTCACCGCCAAACTTATAATGATAGGAAAGAAAATTTGCATATTACGTAGATATTTTATGAATTTTCTTCCAAAAAATAACAAAATCCGAAAAAAATGGTATAGGACGTTAAAGTATTCCCCGTCTCTGTCTTCCTGATTCTAACGGCCGGCGATATAGCAAAATTGTATTTTTGGAGTTCCAACAACATACTCTACAGACTGAAGATCAAAACTATATCGTCAAATTAAAAACAATAACTTTTTATTATATATTTTCACAAAAGGGTTTGTTTAATATCTAATATTTCTAAAACATAGTAAATATTGTCGGTTTTAATTTGGTGCAATTATACATTTTTGTTTTAAGTCTTTAGGAACTAGAATATATTACCGTTTTGGAACTCCGAAAACACAATTTTTCTATGTGGGTCTATGCACATTAGTATAACTGCAACAGTGCGGAAAATGTAACTGCGACGGCGACGCTCTTAATTTTAATTATGTACTTTTAGAGATAACGTAGTGACTTACGGAAAATCGAACACCCTGTATAAGATATAACTGTTGGTCGAGTCGTCGACTGATGGATTCAACACGTTATTCTGGACGCTCGACTATTAATATAATAAAATAATAATATTATATTGAAGTTAAAAGTATACGGATGCGCTCGTCCCGCTAACAATTAAGCCGTGATTGCGCGCGGCTCGCGATAGCTAATGACCTTATATTTTATAGCAATGATAATTAATTATAAAAAAAAAAATCCGAAAATTCCCAGTCACGCCTTTACGCTTCGTACCTACGTCGTCGTCGTCGTCATTGCCGCCATAGGTGTATTATTAATACATCTATGCCCTTAAAGGAAACATACCGTACGTACTCTCTGTAGTTGGTACCTACATATATATACGTATACTGTGAAGTCATCACGAGGAGATGAAAAACATTTTTAAGAGCGCATGAACTCCGGTTCAAATACACCAGACTTGTACGTGTGTGTGTGTTCCTGCGTAAAACGGTTTTTTTCTGTTATAATTTCGAGTGTTATAAAATTGCTTTCCCCTTTTGCCTCCCTTCTCAAACTCAAGTTCAGTAGACCGACACCGAGAAAACGGAAATAATCCCAAAGATAAAACGACCGTTTTCAACGATGACCGTCCCTGAAAGAATGACGAATTCAGAATCTTATTAAAAATATTGGCTCAAAAAGGCGTGCAAACAATGGCATCGCAAGAATTTAAATCGGCCGAGAATAATATTGAATTATCAACTATTATTATTACAATAGATATAAATCAGTCTTAAAATGCAATTTCTACAATGATTAGGTATTATTATTATTATTATTATTAAATTATTATTTAAAACCTCTCCTGTTCCGTTTCGTATCGCGTAAAATTAAATAAAACTGCAATTTATGTGTATCCGTAACTTAAATTAAAATTTACGCTTTTCTCTGAATACGATGGATTATTTATTATAAACTCATATTATCGTATATACTCGTATACCTAAAATATAAATAAATATATAAGGATATTTTTTTTTGTCTTCTAATCTATGTTATGTATTACAATTAATAGTCTTATTATTTATTTAATTTAAACAGTACAATATTTTATGATCATGTTACACAAATATTTTATTTTATTTTATCTAAACGTCTATTTTAATAGTATATAATATATTAATATGCTAAACAATTAAACAACCGTTTAGTAAATTGGCGTATATTATATTGCTTCTCTGTACTTGGCCGAGGCACTAATCGTGTCTCTTAACGCCACTCTTTTTTTTTTTTAAAAAAATAACTCTATTTTATAACATTTTGATAGGTAAGTATAATATTTCGATATAACCTATTGAACACAATTTTCACAAAATTACTGCTACCTTGGCAGTAAAATAAAGAAGAATGGTAGAAACGAGTTAGACACATAATAAATACAGGAAGGGAAAAGAACTTTTCATAATAAAAATGTATATGAACCACAAACTGCATCATAGAACTCGATACTAGAAAAAACTCTATGAAAATATACATATGGAGTGTGTGAAGTTATACATGTGTCTAACCTAGACAGTGAGTACACACAATCAAATAGAGAAAACTATATAGAAGCATTTAAAATGCAGCGTTACCGTAAGACACTTAAGATTTCGTGGCGTGAAAGAGCGACCAACGGAACAGTTTCAAGACAAATTTTCAGGGGAAAAGACAAATTTAGTAAATTTCAAAAGATAACGGGGCAAATATATTATAATAGAATACATTCTCTACGCCCAGGTAGTTGAATTCAATTATTAAAGATTACACAAACGGTAAAATTGAAAGTGGAAAAGGATGGCGGAATAATTAGGTTAATAATTGTGGTAGTCGTAAAAAAATTCAAGTTTTACCCGAGAACTGCTGCCGAATGATCGAAAAATTCAAGACAAATAAGATTATATTATAATCTCAATTATAATGTTATGCTCTAATTTTACGTCGAGACACGAAAATAACTGAGAGCAATAACTATAAAAAAAAAAAGTAAACCTACACATTTCGGATATCGATTTACCAAGAATATAATTATTGTTCAGGAAAATGTTCTGATATTATATGTGTAATATACCTACAGTATATAAACAATAAATTCTACATACACGATGTCTAAGCGATTCATGTTTAATGGATCGCCGAATAGTTTGTTTTATTTTTTTCGAATGTTCAACGATTTGAATTATCAATATAATATTATACATGTATTCTATATATCTATGGAAGAAAATTATTATTTGTTATTATATTGTTTGCGTAGAATAAATTTCATTATGGAGTTCGGGTATCATTCAGATTTCAACGGTACTACTGACGCCATCGTATATTTAGCTATACGGTTCGGGAAGATGGAAGCCACGTACAACGACAATCCGTCTTCCGAAACCGCTATGTCATGCGGAACTTGATTAAGCTGAAAAAAAAAATACGATTACCATAGGTGTTAAAATATTGTAAATTATAAGGGCTATAGCCCCCTCCCCCCATTGACCGTGTTTATGTAGTATGTAACTTGTATACTATTTTACGAATTGAGCGTTAACTATATTTCCATTTCATTCATTTATTCCTGAAAAACCGTTATCTACACTAAACCGTATAAAAATGTATTTAGAAAGGAGTTTAATGTGTCTGAAAATTGATTCAATGGATTAACCATGGATAATTAATGAAAATAATATGATTACTGCTTTGCTCAAAATTCTCTTAGAATGATGCAATTTTCAGAAGGGAGTAATATTATAGTTACAGAATAATATTATACCTATCTGTTTTATTATTTCATTAAAAAGTTTTTTTTTTTTAAATGCATAGTGTTGGCAATATTTTTTATTTTGTTTTTGAGTGGTGATCAACCCTGATTCCTCCTTTACCTACACACCTATAATTTCAAACAAAAATGTATTTAGCCACCTAAATTCAAGATCCTGGCTCCTTGTGACTTTATTATAATACTATTATTGTTCTATATAGTTGGTAGGTATATACTCACAACGTCTTTGGACAATTTCCAGTGGTCGACTATGCTTTCAGTCATCGGGTTAATGGTAAATCCTCGTACGGGTATTAAAGGCGACGTGGGCCCATTGACGGCGTAAATCAAATCGCCTTCGAATAATTAAACGCGATTATTATTATTATTTTTTTTTTTATCATCGTGCCGAATCGTACCATGATTGGTTATCGCGTACACACGTCCAAGGTCCGGTTCCTGTATTGTCAACGGTGCCTGTGATTTGCCTTTCTCGGACAGCTCTGCGCCCCGGCACACAACTCTCATGTCTTCGCGATCAGCAATACAGATAAGATCACGTTCTTCGAGCAACGCCAAACTGTGCGGCACTTGGAGACTTAGAAATTCTACAGTAAAACGTATATTATTCAATACAGAGTAATTTTCTTATCCCAATCCATTAACATTTATTACTAGGATCAAAAAATGAGAGTAATAAATAACCCTTCCCCACATCTATATTCACGGCATTTTTAGTGAATAATCACTGCGTATCCACTCCCATTTTTCAGTTTTCTTAGATAAGCTCCGTGATCAGATAGATAAAACCTTCTCCGTAATTTGAACATTCCCCAGTTACCTCACCAGTATAATTGTTTTCTTATAAACTATAATATTTTGTTATACAATTTTCTAATTCAACAATTTATCATTTATCTTTTAGTGAACCCGCAGTAAGTAAAATCTTACTCTACTAAATGATCAATGAATTTGACTGTGTATTAATTTGGATATAGAGAACCTCCTTAAAATTGCCCAGCTATCGGGTTTAAAATCTTAAACTACCTAATATAAATGTATAAAACCAGGGTTTGGGACAAAAAAATCACATTATAGTAAAACTCATATAGGCTTCATTCGTAATCTAAAATATACTTTGTTCCAACAGTCATTTAAATATGATAATTGCGTGTATACATATGTGCAGACCCGTGGCGAATCTAGGAGGGATCTTTCACAATCAATTCAAATCTTAGCTCGATTCATAATTGAACTCATCACAGATGTGTGTTTTATATGAATTTTTAAAATCGACACCCCTTCTATTCTCATTATCTTGTGTAAGATCCGTGGTGCAGAAAATTAATAGTAGGTACCTAATGGTATCTATGATATTATTTAATTATTTTATTATCATAAACGTTATTTATTATTGCAAATTATTAAATCAGTTTAACTGTTTATCTATCTACACGGTCTTTTCATCGATGCATACGAATTACCTCCCAAAATATACGAATAGCCTCTCATGCTTATCGTAATTACAAAGCGGTTAATATACAGTAGTCGCCTCCGACAATTAGGTGGTTCATAATTATGTACTAGTTGCTTCCCAAAAATAATCACACTAGTCGCCTTCCATAAAGAATAAAGCACTAAACTGAATTTAATATAATATTTATAATTTTATTAAAACTAATAATATAATTGGTCAATAAAAAAGCATTTAGTAATACAATAATTATAAGTCAATAAAAAAAATATGGTAATAAATTTGTAAATAAAAAATACATAGTATTATTGAAATTATTTGTTATAATGTTAGTCATAAATTACGAATTTGAGTGTATAAACCCAAAATCCAATGCTGGCTGATAGGTTATTAATGAGTAATAATCAACATACTCGTAATATTACTTCGTGATAAAAGACTTAAACAAATGTATGTACTGATGCATACTGTTTAAAAATGTTTAAATCGTTTATAAACCACTTATACATTTATTATCTGCCTATTGGGAGACTACTAGTAGTAAACCTTTTTTGTTTACGATAAAGTTAAGGGTGCGGCGAGAGGGGACTCGTATAGAGTACTCTTGAGAATGGCTTCCCAAATTCAGGTAGATGAACTTTTTTCACTCGAATTGCTTCCGAGTATTTTCGGAAACAATTTGAGTATACTCCAACCGTCCATTCGAATTTCCTCCCATAACATGCCTAGATTGTTAATTAATATACCGATAGCTAACGTGAACATCGACTATTATATCGAAAATTTCAATATTTTAAAGTATTATCAAATAAATTTAAACCTTAGAAACATACAACATAAAAAATTTAAATTTAAATTTTTGACTATAAAACATGATGTTTATTTATTGATTGTTTACTATTTTTAGATTCTGAGTGTAGCGAGGAATTGGTTTTATAAAGATGTTTAATTTTTTTTTTTTATGTGAATACTTTTTTTACCAGAAAACATGCTCGAATAATCAAGTATAGCACCTTTTCTGAAAGGAAATATTCTCTAGGTGATACTTTAGAGAAGTCATGTTTAGAAATTCTCATTAATATTCGAGTTAATGAAGAAAACCTCGGTCTTTAGATTAAAAAAGATTGAAAGATTAAAAATAAGGTTGTCATTGGCAACAATTTTCATTTTTTTTTTTTTTGTTTTTATTAAGTTTTTATTATTTTAGTCTTTTTTAAACAATCATTGTTATCATGGAAACGCACATTGTTGTAATCATTTTACCATAATATGATATACATCATATGTTTTTGACAAAGCAAAACTATTAACTGAACTCCGTTCATAATCGTTTTTTCGTTAGCAATGGTTCATCGTTGCTTACAGATGTACATTAAATTCTCGTCTGTATCCTATTTTTCCAACTTCCCACCTACAACAGTGGCCGCACCCAAGTGTGAATTTTGTCCGTTCTTTTTTTTTTTTTTTTAATTAATTACTGTTGTATTGGTACTGTAAAACATAATGCTATTTCATCTAAATTATTATTTTTATTGAATTTTAATACGTGCAATTTTGATACAGTACATATACCTATGTTATTTTTGACATCGACTTATTACCTAATCTAATACCGTGTACTAATGTCTACTAATTACATGTGTATTAATGTCGTGTACCTAATACCTATATATATTGTATAATTGTTTTTAGTTCTAAAAAAATTGAAATAGAAATCGATTTCGATACAAGAATGTTACTATTTAAAATAGGAGGTAATTCGAGTGAATGATATTTTTGAAATCGGGAGGCAATTCGAGTAATCTTTTTAAAAAAATTCACGGTAGGCAATTCGGGGTGTTGACCAGTTGCCCCCAATGGCTGTTATCGGGATTTTAAAAATATACCAGTTGCTTTCAACCAAATTTACCAGTTGCCCTCAACCGAATGTACCAGTAGCCCTCATATGTTAACACGATTACAATAAATAGCCCGAAAATAAGGGAGGTAAATATTGCATATTGAAAATGCACTTAAAAAAAAATAGTATAAAATGATTGAAAAAAATGCATATACTTGCAGATAATATATATAATATTGTATTTATAATTTTAATTTTAATTTGTCAAAAAAAAAAAATGTTATTTCCCTTTTCCGTCAATTCACTTTACTGCCAAATTAAAAAATTAAAAAAAATATATTTTACTATTGACTGTGTCGAGCGTCGTAACGGCCGGTTTCGTACATATCGTACAACTGCATCAACTGATATTATAACAAGCAAGATTAACAACATAATCGATAGCATTGGAAAAATACGATAATCGGCGATAAATTTATCATCGGACAAATTTACGATACGTTACATATCTTACGACGGAAAAATAATAATAAAAATAAGTTTAACTTATATACTATAATAAAAAAGTGATATTTTTGCTATTTTTTGAGTAAAAAATTGTGGTAAAAACAATCGTTATAAGAATTAACATCTTTTTTTACCTTGTATTCAATAAATAATAAACAACATTTTGATCATACATACATAGAAAAAACTTACTCATTTTTAATTTATTTATTTTTCTAATTAATAATTGTAATGTATAAAATTGTCCATTAATATTCGAATATTAGACTAAATTGTTTTATTTGACGAAAAAGGGAAAGGTAAATTTTTGGCAGAAACTGGCCATGCCCGTTTATTTTTCACTGTATACAATTTTCGATAGTTTACATGTTCTATCGAATACTTTTTTTCTGTGACACTTTATTCAGAAATGCAATCGAATATTTCGAAATACCATTCGGGTATTTTTTAAATATTTCTATTTAAAATGTAAATTAATTGGGATAATTGATCATATATAGTAATAATATAAACCGAACATTTTATTTTTTAAAACATTCAAATTAATTAATATTATAATTTTCTATCCTAATAGTTTATAGTGTTTGGATCCCAGAGAAGGATAGCTTTAAAAAATGTAATAGTACAAAAAAAAAAAAAACAAAGTTTGAAAAATTTCAAAAATAAAATAAAAAATGACGGAAATTATGAAATTATAGAAAAATTATTGAAGAAAATAATAAAAATTGGCATCGGCCATTAATTTTTGGGACGAAAAATATAAACTATTCGAATGCAATCTGATATTTCGATAGAAACTATTCAGTTATGCCCATCACTGCTTAAGATAATATTTTTACTATCAATGAACATTCTACAATATTATAATATACACTGATTGGTATGTACCGTTGGCATGTGGGAAGACCCGTAGCAATTCTCCTCTGCTCGAGTATTTCAAAACTCTAGAGTTACAATATCCGTCGGCGATAAAAATGTCACCGCCCGAAGCGATGGCGACAGACGTAGGCTGACAGAGTGTCCGGTATCCTTTGCCGTTCTCGAATCTCTTACCGAACGTCAGCGACGGCCTAAGTGCTCCGGGTGAAAACTATACACAAACAAATATAATTCGTTCTGTTTCGTTAGTATGTCAACACGTTACTGGTTTGCATATTCATTTAAACAAATACAAATTAGAAAAATTATACATCTAAAATACTCGTATTATATATCATATCATTTAACCGGGTGTTTTTTGTTTTTAACCTTAAACACTTGATGCAGGGCCACATCTGTGACCCAGACGTTCCCCTGGTGATCAACCGTGATTCCGTGTGGCATGTAAAAAAAACCTGCTCCCCAGCTGGACAAAACCTCGCCGGTTTCCGGGCTCAGAGTGACAATGGTGCTAGACAAAATGGGCCCTTCCTCCACGTGCTGATAGTGGTACGTCTCATTGAACGATCTATAAACAGCATTTTTGTCGAATATTTATGTATATGTTTAGAGAAAACATATTTACAAGTTAGCCTCACTTTTCGTCCCAGACTCGACTACCCCGGTGAAAAATCACCGGCTGTCCGACCGTGTTTATCGCCACTCCGCTTACTTGTCCGAGACGGGGTATCGGACTATTCGGCCATCCTTCCACTTCAACGGGTCTGTTTATGTTCGGGAGCGTCTGTTGAAATCATCAGTAATCATAGTTTATAGGTACAAGTACTTTATGAGGAAAATTTAGATAGTAAGATATTTAACTAAACTCCATCCAGAATCATTTGCAATAATTTATTGCAACGATCCATAATGAAATAGACTTTATATAACTTCTTCCCTAAAACAATAACCAATGAGCAGTGCACATCTTTTTTGTATTTTTGTGACTGTAAGGAGTTTTCAAAATAGTTGGAGAAGACTGAAAAAAACGTACAGGAAAAACGGACAAATATTTACGGCAGTCGCTATTACAGATTTCAATATTTCTAATGTTTACGAATTATGTTTTCTACATGCGCCAATCGAAAAATGACAAGAATCATATTTTGTGGATCTAGTTAGTAAGTATGGATGTTGTTTTTTAATTTTCCGTAAAGTTTTATTAATAGTTAAGCAAAACCAGAAATAAAGTAAAAAAAGAGGGAAAGTTTAAGGAAATAATGGTTTCTTTAAATGTAATTTTATTATTTCAATTAATTCTTTGTTACAACATATTGAAATTTAGTTAAAAATATCCGTAGAGAGCTGTCATTTTCACAGAATAATTATTAGCCTTTCCTAGATGTGTTAACATTTTCATAACAAAAACATTTTTGAACAATTTATAGGCATTTTATAAATTGTTATTTTTTTATTTGTTTTAGTTAATTGTTGATTATTATTAGAAGAAAGAATAAGACGGACATACTTCGCGGGTGACCCCCTGGACTTTTTTTTTTGTCAGCTGTTAGGTATGTTCTGTACGTAAGCAACGATAAACAATTGCTAACGAAAAAATTATTCTAAGCAGAGTTCAGTTGATAGTGTTGCTTTATCAACAATATATATGTCATATTATGATAAAATAAATACATAGGCATTATATATTTTCTTTAATAATATTTGTTTAATATTTTACCTATTTCGTCGTTATTCTTACGTTTGACCAGGTTTTTCCCATTTGTTGAGAAAACTCCTGAGAAAATCAAAAAATGACCTATTGACCTCCAATAGGTAAAATATTAGATAGATAGATATTATTAAATAGGTAATGTATCTTTCCAGCCAGATTTTCTTTTAGAAAAACTGCTATCATTAGTTCTACCAACAAATAGTAGCGAAATAAATTGCTTGTAGAAAAGTTTTTGACAAGAAAAATCGAAAAACTACCTCCCTAAAGTATCTCCCGGCACTAATTTCCTTTCATAAAAGTGCCATACTGAAAAACCGGAACAAGATTTCTGGTAGAAAAGTTGTCCATAGTTAAAAAAAAAAATAACATCTTTATACAACCATGAGCTTCCACTGAGAATCTAGAAAATATGTTTGTTTTGCTGACCAGCAGATGTTACTGACTGGTACCGGACTGGCACGCAAATATTAATTTATATATGTACCTAAGCCTAACGTAATGGTTACAGTGACATGCGGTGCGTAATAATGTATAATAATTTCGGATGTCCAACAGTAAATAATATAATAATTTACCGTTAGTATATTGATTGATGATTATCGTGGGGAAAAAAAACGTATGGAGAAGCAGTGGGAGTCGCTATCGGACATCGGTCACAAAACTTCCATGATTTCGATTCTTCTCGGATCACCGAGACGATATTTTCTCACGTGACGTGTACGATCGGGGAAATGTCGTTTTAATAATATTTCGAGACCAGTACTGCAATATTTACTGTCACGTACCTACACTATCGGTAACTTACGAGTTCGTCGTCATTCGGAAACATTCGCCTCGGTAAATTTTACCGAGATGTCGCATAGCTTACAGAGGCCGATTACCTAATGCTGATTCACAACAATATAGTACGTGATCGAGATCAGCAAACGTTCGGGAAAACTTAAATCGAAAAAAAAAAAAACAAAAACAAAATCCTTTTTATTTCAGCGCACGTTGGTATACCTACTTATCAAATAAACGGCCGTATAATAGTATCCTGCACTGTTAATAAATAATAATATAATTGCCTGCGAAGACAGCGGTAACGATACTGGCGGCGACGGTGCCGAATCAGTGGGGCTCTTTTCTTCGTTGTACAACACCCCTCTGATCTGGTCGTAGAAAGTTCTGTCCATCGCCGGTTCTAACCTTCCTGCGTCGCCGCCGGGCAGCAGAACCACAGAAACGGCCATGCAGATGGCGACCACGGCGGCGGAGATTATTGCCAACGGAGACGACCACATCGGTCCTAGTCCTATGTAGTGTTTCGTGGAGCAACTATTGCAGGAGCAACGACGTCTGGGATGCCAGTGTGATTCTTCCTCCTCGAATACCATCCGCGTGCGTGTGCGAGCGTGTGTGTACAAACGGTAACGTACACTTACAATATTATGAAGTGGTCGTTGACGATTATATTGCGCGCACTTTGGCCTTGGTACCGTTACACCGCGCCGTAGAAATCAATACCAATGCAAGTGGCGGCGGCGGCGGCGGCGGCGGCGGCGGCGGTGGTGACGATCGCTTTGATCGCCAGAGAGCGCCGCCGCGACTATAAATGCTCCTATACTCTCCCCTCACGTGATCGTCCACTTCCTCCTCCACACCGTGTGCCCCCCTCGGTGCTAAAACCTAACCGTTTCGTTGTGTACACAGTATGACAGGTTGACACTTTTCATATGCCATTCCAGCGTACTCACGTTATTATGTGCCGGAAATACCCCTTTAAATAGTCATAGGTATGCAACTTTAAAAATAAATTTAATATTGATATTTTTGTCTGTGGTACTGTACATTTATTTAATTTATACGTCAGTAATTTAATTTCCTAATTTTAAATTTTAATCTAACACAATCCTTATTGAAATTTTTGTAAATTATGTGCTCTGTGTACCTGCATACTGTAATTGGGCTTTTGCCCGCATAAATTAGGTAACAACATAACAATAATAAATAAATAAATGAGTACAGGGTACAAATATAGTGGCGCTGAACACGCGATTTAGGTCTGGTCAAGTCCAGGCTATAGTTTTGGGGATGGTGGTAGTGTTTAGCCTTGTGAGTTGTACAGGTATACCAATTATTAGTGGGTAGGTGGCGAGTACCGAGTAATAGTAGCGTCATTAACGTCGAACAAGGGGTAAAAGTCTGGTTAAGACCGGACCATATTTTTGGAACGACGGTGGTTAATGTTTAATGGACAGATCTTCTCGCTCGTGTACAAGTATATCATTTAAAGTTGATAATTATAATACCTAATAATGGTTTACAATTTGTCTGAACTTTAACAAATATGTTAATGCACTGTTATTAATAACACGGTAAACTTAATAACAATAATAATACATTTAATACATTCGTATGAGTCGTTAGGTCAAGGGTGGATTTATGGAGGGGGGGGGGGGTTCAGGGGGTCTGGACACTGATATATTTTCAATAAAATGTCGTCCAAAAAAGAGGCATCTATTAATTGAGATACTTTTTAAATACATATTATTTTTCAGGGCGTCTCCCAGAAAAATGTTGAAAATCCGCTACTGCATTACGTATCTGAGGTTTTAGTAAAAAATAGTTTAAAATCATGATTTTCATGCTCTAGGTATTTAATAGCACTCACAGCATTAATAAATATGTGCTAGAAATATGCAATAGGTACCTTAAAATAATTAAAACTACACGGTTTTCAATAGCAAGAAATTTTGATAAATATTGACAAATGTTTAATAGGGGGAGGGGAGGTTCGGTGGACAAAGTGTCCCCACTGGGGCGGTGAGGGCTATAGGTACCTATTACGATTATATTGACCAGACCATTTCAAAACTTATTCGGCGCCACTGAATATAGCGTTATGAATGTTATGATACTTTACAATCTAATTGTACTAATTGACTAATGTACCTACATTATAAAGCGTACAAATAATACAATTGCAATAATATTGTATCTTAATATCCATAAGTACCTATGTATTTCGTACCCATTATTCGAATGTTTTAGTACAAAATAATGTAAAATAAAGATTCACGACCTAAGGATTGGATTTGAAAATTAGTGAAATATTATATCAAATACATTTTGAACACGATTAGGCCTATAATTATAGACAATTGGAATTTTAGGCATGTTTAATTAAGGTACCTACATACTCTAGAAAATCGGGTAAACCTCGTTGGTAGGGTGTAAACCTTAAGATTTAAGAAAATATATTTATGACGTACTTCACACCACGAGTAGACCGCTGTTGCGGGTGAACATCCGTGAAAGATATTAATTAAATTACTTACTGACCGATATTATAACGAGCTTAAATTCGCAAAATGGAGGTAAATCCCATGGGAATCTAATTTTGACATTTCGACATTTCCATTTCGCACCACGAATAGACCATTGTTTTTAGGCGGAAATATTCGATATTTTTTTTTTTTACATTTTTAAGTTTGAACGTCACTGGTCAACGACAACACATATACCTAACTACCTACTTACATGTTCTTGGTCCACAAAAGTGACTTTTGATAATGTAAAAACTGGCATCTAGATATTATTTTACAACTCTTTCACCGTGGTATCATACCATATTATCATCATGGTTATAGTAATGGGAACAAACGAGAGAAACATATAATCGAAATACAAATACTCGACTGTTTGAATTAATCGAGTAAGTATTTCGATTACAGTGAACATAATCAAGATTATCTCTCAGGATCAACTGAAATAATCGAATTAAAATTAGTACCTTGATAATAATCACTCAGTATTCCTACTTAATATTTACTATTCATTAATGAACTCGATTCTAACGATTAGGTAGATACGGTTTTTGAACTCTCCGCTCGTGACACACTCATCCCCTTGGTCCTACCCAATTATCGAATAATGATAAATATTTCAATAGGTAGGTATATATATGAGTTTTTTAACTCCAGTCTTCTTTACCTAAGTATTTGTTTCTATATCGAAGCACATTCACGAGCGTGTAAAATCGTATGGATAAGTAACGACAATAATAATTCCCATCCGCATTGCGTACATTCTAAATTGTAAAAATTTAATTTTATAAATGACAGTTCTCGGACTGTCACTTAAACAAATGGTGTTTAAAAATAAGTATATAACGTAGGTATTATAAATTCTAACATTTAGGTAGGTACATAAACGTTTTGAACATTACTGTTTGAAAATGCCTGTAAAGTACATTTGTACCTATTAATAATAAGGTACATAATTATTTATTTTTGTCACTAAACATTTTAATTAAAGAGCCTGTATTATAACTCATAAGCTTATAGGCTCTCTAATTTTATTTATTGCATGATTTTCTCTGCTGCAAAGTTGAAATTTAAAAATCTTAAATAAGTATCTACTTTTAAACAATTGCAGTGAATGTAACAGTTACAGTGTAACTAATGTTAACACGAACTAAATTAATTTCCAACAATAAATATTGTTTGGTGCTATTTACATAATATAAAGTATCGATAAGATTGGTTAATACCCAAATATTTACCATTATATTGTCAAACATAATTTAGAACAATAATTATTCTTGCTGATGAAACTCAGAACAATTATCAAAAAACAGTGTGCGTATCTTGGTTGCCGTGACATATATTTATCTATGGTAATATGTATACTGATCTGTGTTCATGTCATCTGTGCTATAACAAACATATTTATGAAAACTATAATAGAAATTGCGATAAATTCTTATTTACTTTAGCACAAATTTTTAACTAATCCTAATACCCTTGCCAAAAAACTATCAGAGTAAAGGGTTGAAAATAAAGTGGTGAAATGATTTATTACCAAAATATAGTATTTGAAAATCATGTTTTAAAGGTTAGGCCTCAGGTATTATAAAATAATAGATCATTTATAAAAATCATGAGTGTATGGCGGATTCATCGTGTATTTGTGATTTATTAAGGAATCTGAAAACTTAATTAAAATGGTACTAATATTATGAAAAAAAATTAAATACGAAAACTAATACATTGATATATTTTTAAATAGGAGGTATACAATATAATATATTATAATATTCTTAAAATAATTTATTTATCAAAATACTTTGATTTTTTTCATTTAATATTTTTAAATTTTAGTAAAATAATTAACATGTTTGTTTTACTAAATACAAATTACATAATTAGTCTTGGAAAATGAAATAGTAACTGTTATAATGTAACATAATAGTATAACAAACATACAAATATTTCTTATAAATTAATTAACAAAAAAAGGTAAACATATTATTATTTAATATCTATATAGAGATATATAATTAGATAGGTAACATTTAACAGAAGGAATGTAATCACAAACAATAAATTGTAAGAATAAGTTATACATAGTTATGTAATAATAAACTATTTATAAGTTAAATAAAATATTTGATACACACCATATATTATGAAGATTAACAAATAGAGTGTCTATAACTTCATGTCAATTATAAAAAAGCTCAATCAACAATCAAATTTACAATGTACTGTTTTTTTTAATTTTTCACTAGGCAATGATGTTTTGTATATTTAAAAATGCACTTATTCTATTTATCAAAACAAATTTAATTAATTTCAGATCAATTTTTTACCAATAAAAACTAGCTTTAATAAAAATTTAAAGTTATGCTATAAAATTAAATAACAAAAAACAGGTCTTAAATATTTTTAAATTTTCAAAATTTTTACTAATGACTGTCTAAAATGAATAAACAATAATGATGATAATGCTTTGTTTTCTATTTTTGATGGTATGTATATTTGTCTATCTTTAGACCCCCATGTATTTACACCCCCCCCCACCCCTTGTAGTATTCAAAATACTAGTGACACCACTTACAAGATTCATAAGACACCAATCAACAATATAAAATGTATAGTAATTTTCATCAAAAGTATTAAAATATTGAATAGAAATTTGAATAAACTCTGTTCAAATTTCCAGTGCATAGTAATTAAATGTGCTATATCTCTGTTAAAAATACTGTGTTATCTAAATATTACCAATTATATGAAACTAAAAAATGTGTTTTGTTTAATTACTTTGCAATCAAATTTATAATTTAGTATAAACTAATAATGGATTTAATCATTCACTAGCATTTCAATAAGTTGGTTATTTTATTGATTTCAATTGTACACTATGTATTAAAGTAGACTTTACATTTAGCAAAATGTTTACAGTTTTCCTATTAATCTTATTAAATTTATTTTACCAATTCATATTTATTATTAAAAGTGCACATACCCATTTTGTTCTATTAAGGTAACCACAGACATACTTGGCACACACAATACATATTTTGTTTATAAATACTGTTAAAAATTATTTTTGTATAAAACTTTTTACTGGTTTTGAAATATATTATGTACCTATTTTAAAAATTAGAACACACTTAAGATTCATTTATAATAATATTATCATAATCTAATTCTGGGATGTCAGTAGAAAATTCTGTTGTAGTTGACAGTAAAAACTGATTTAATGTTCTTTCAGTGCATTCAGCAATGAATCTTAAAAATGGCCTAATATCTCCTTTATTGGCAAATTCTAATGTTCGATAATACCTATAAAATATAAATACATATATAATTTTTTTTTAAGACATGTAAAATTGTGTTCTTTGTTTATATTAAAGTTATTTAATTTACTTATGTCTTTCTCCTTTTGGTATAATAATTGGTGGATAACCAGCTTGCATTAAAATCATATTCATAAGTAAACGTGATGTTCGCCCATTACCATCAGTAAATGGATGTATGTGAACTAATTTGTAATGAGCAAGTGCTGAAAATCTGACAGGATGTAGTCTTAGAGTTGATTCTGAATTAAGCCACCTCGAGAAATTATCCATTAAAGTTCCAATATGTGAAGGACCAGGAGGGACATGGCCACCAACAAATACCTAATTAATATTAACAAAATTAGAAACTTTATGGAACACTGATCCTCATTTTAAAATTTTTACTCACTTGTGTTTGACGAAAAACTCCACTTTCTAAAGGATCAACAAATCCCATTACTCGTTTATGAATTTCCAAAATATCATCAACAGATATAGCACCTAATCGGTTGATTAATGTTGCATTTATATACTTAAGGGCAGCTTCTAGACCTATAATCTCATTATGTTCAGCAATACTTCTTCCACCAATTGCCATCCTAGTTTCCAAAATAGATCTAGTTTCAGATAAAGACATTCTATTTCCTTCGATACCGACAGTATGATAGATGTGCTAAATAAAATAGAACATTAATAATTGTCACGTTTAAATTAGTTTAACTCTCAAGTTACCTGAAAATATGCTTCTTTTTTTGCTCTCCTTAGAGCTATATTAGAATCTGATATTGAAGCCATCATATCTCTTTTCTCATCGATGCGTTTAAGTTGTTGCCAATCCATATCATCAACAATTAATTGAGTTCTCTTACGATTAATCAATGCTGCTTTATGATTTGGGCTATGTATGAGTGCCTATTTTAAAGTTACACAAATATTGAAAGCATATATTAAAATTGTGCTTATTCAGGTTCATAGAAACAAAAATATTTTGTACACTTAAAGTAATTTTATATTATATTTCATAATTTATTGTAAGTATGTGACGTGACAGTAAATTCCATTTGTCATATAGAAAATAAAATAAGTTTCATATAGTGTATACACCATATTGAATTATCAATTAAGCAGAATAATCTTCAAAATATTTAAATAATTACAATCCTGTGAAATATTTTGTTTGATTATTGTTGGTATTATAATACTTGATATATCATACTTAATTATAGATTTTAACAAGCCAAATTTAAATCTGATATCCTTAATTTTTAAAAATGATAAGTTTAAGTAATTAATAATATGTACAAAAAAAAAGATCTGATACTGCTACCACCCGAATTCAAAAATTCAACATGATACTATTATATAAGTAATAGGTACCTAGCATAAATTTCTATTTAATATAATAGAAATTTAAAGTATAAAATACACAAATGATGATTAATTTTAGTGTACAAAATATTTATCTATTTCATGAATTGTAAGCAATTCCATATTCATTTCATAGGTTAATTTTAACTAACCTGAAAATACATTTGATCAGCTGTTAAAATGTCATCTCGTAGTGTTTCAATTAGTTCTCCATAGCCGTTTAATAAATCAGGATTTTTTGGAGCAAGTGCAATACCATGTTCTATAAGTTTTAATGCTTTTTCTCCTTTGCCCATTGCCTTCATCTCGTTGGCAGCCAATAATGACATTAACGCTTCAACATTGTCTTGATCAGCTGAAAATAAATCAAATAAAAATATATCATATACCTACAGAAGCATTTTTATTTTACTTACAAACAACATCTACTTCTGTTTCTCTGATAATTAATTCGTGAGCACTTTTATCATAGTCAAAAATTTCATGATCATCAGAACCGATGATTGAAAATGGGCGGCGTACAATTAAATTTTTAGGTTGTTTGGTATTATTTGATACATAGTTCCAGAATTTGTTAAAAAAAATACTGGATAGAGCACCAATTAAAAATACTAGGATGATGAAATAGTATTTGTGTATTATCCCATGGGTATGGATTAATTTCAAAGCTAAACACTTCATGGTTTATTTCTAAATGACTACTTCATGATGGTTCAGAAATGTAATCGACAGGATTCGTCGTTTCCATAATCTTCATAAGAGTGTTATGCTCTAAAATGAAAATATCCATATGGATACTTAAAATCGTATTAATTAAGAGATGAAATTATAAACATATTATTGTTTTACTATAATAAACTGTAGAAAAATAAACACTCAACACGTAAGTAAATAATTTTATCAACTACCTCTGTAACTGATAACACCTATCGTTTCAAATGATAAGGAATAACTATATTAGAAGATAAGGTCGGGACCTGAGAGCCAAGATCTTATTAATAGTTTTAATAAGGTTTTAACCATGGACTAAGATATACTTAGTAAGATATCTCTAATCGTGATTTTAACTAAATATTATGGACAAGTAAAAAAGTAGTAAATAAATACAGTAACTGTACGTGTGTACTCGACTATCTCGATATTAAAATATAATTAATTTAAATATTATTTGTTGGATCAGTTATCAGTAATAGATATACTTTTTTCCGATTTTTTTTTATGCCACTTTCGTCGTGTTGATATTTCAATGGCCAACAATAAATATTTCGACTTTGCCTCTTTTGGCTAAATTTGTAATTTGTCAATTATGCATTTTATTTAACCGTGTTCATCGAAAAATTAAAAATGTTTATACTCCCCATTTTTGTAGGTGTATTATTGTCGACGAGTCTCTCAAAGGTAAGTCTTCCAATAATTAAGAAGTCGATTTTTAATTGTTAGTTGTTTATGTTTAATATTTATAAAATCTATTACAAATATGTTTTTACTATTTCTTGTTTTGGTATTTTTTGTCATATTTTACTACCTTTACCAAAATCAGTAATTATTTTATAAAAGAAATGTCTAGCTTCTAGGACATCTACTACATGTGGCTACTACGTACTCGATTTATATAAGTAAAACACATTTATACAAATATGGATGGAGGTTTACAAATTTAAAGATTAAAAATCTGTAATATATAACTAATCTTAACAATAGGATTTCTGCCAGTTGAAGTTAATCTGAATCATACTTTTGTTATTTGGATAAAGCTAGTTATATAATAATTATTAATTGGTGAATGTACCTAGATTTTATTTTGTTTGTTAAAACTAAATTATATTTATTTTATTTACCTACTATTATTGATAACTTATACTTAACATTAATGCTAACGCAATAAATATAATAATTTTACATAATATATCTATTGTTCAGTGTTCAAAATCTAACAAATATTTTTAAAATGTAGGGAGAATCATATGAAGATGCTCGTTGCAAATGTGTATGTACTATAGTAAATGGTACAGAAATGTATAATAAATTATATATAGCTAATGTTCTTCCTAGCAAGTGAGTTCAATGAATATGGATTACAATTAGTTGTTATATGGTCTGATTACCTCAATTATTTTCAGTGATTGTAATGGAGTAAGCCTACCAGTTATTGGTGAAGTGAATAATACTAAAAAAGAATTATGCCCGCGATGCACTTGCACGTACGAGAGTAGAAATACTACTACTATGAAGGTAACCCATTATTTGTAAAATTGATTAAAATGTATGTTGAATATTATATTTAAATTTGTACAAAAAATAAAGGTGGTTGTGTTAATCGTGCTATGTGTGATATCAATATTAGTGACATACATGCTATTCCTGCTATGTTTAGAGCCAATGATAAGAAAACGCAAGCTAGTTGGCACCTATGTAGAGCACACCAACGAAGAGGTATGTTCTTTAATGGAGCCGACCATGTCCGATAGCGGTAGTTTTGTAAGTCCAACATATTCTCTCCCAATTTGCCTAAAACCAAAAACTATAACAACGTAAAACAGCAGATTTCCTAATGTTCACCATATAAAAAGCCCTTTTGATATTATAGTAAGTCAAAATAAATTGCAGAGAATTGTGAAAATGCATCGAAAAATGAGGTTTATACTGTAAATATAATATAGTTAAACTTTTTTTTGTATTTAATATTTTTTTGCTTGTTTGTTTATTATTATTTTCCATCATTATTTTGATATACCTACCTCCTTTATTAATTTTCATTTGTTTTGTTATTTTATTGATAGATAAAACGTACTATTATCACAAACTAATAGTTCTAATTAATTTCCAACTTAAATAATAATCATAATAACTAATAACTATTAAGTTAAGTTCATCTCCAAATAGGATTCCCAAACACTATGTTGGACACTAATTATTTGTTTTTGATTTATGTAGAAAAATTAACAACACAGAATGGATCAGTGCACTATGTGTGATTAATGTTAGGCTTAAAATAATACATTTTTTTTTTCTAGTAGTATTCTTAAATAATTTAATGCATGCCGTTAGTATAGATTTTTTTATTTACATGATTAATATAAATTGTTTAATGTTTATATATTTTAAATATATAAATAAAAAATGTATATATAGTACAGTTGCGTTTTACATTATGATTGTGATGTACCTGATAATGAATTTTTAATTCAAAACCGGTCATATAATAGAGTTATCATAATACTCTAGGTAACTTATTTATTAATTAATTAATTTTTTTATTTGTATGTATACATTTTTTTATTTATATATTAATTTACGAGTATTAGTCATTTTATTAATTTTGTTTTTATTTTATATTTAAATTAACCCATAATTATTCCAATTATTTGTAGGATGATCTCCCACACGCTGTTTCATTAGATACAAGAGGAGGAAGTGATCCTATGATTTCGGTTGCTTCTAACAGTAATGTTCTGAATCGATTTGGACACCAACAGAATAAATGGAAAAAACAAGTTAAAGAACAAAGGAAAAATATCTATGATCGTCATACAATCCTTAACTAGAAATATTAAGTTAATAGTTGATTTGTTTGCTTACATCTAATCAAGTGAAGAAAAAAACATCTTACGAGTTTCTGTGTACTCAATATATCTTATGCATAGTGAATATGCAAAGGTAAATTGATTTCCTAATAATTCCTTGATTGTTTGTATTAAATTAACTTTTATTTTCAGTTTTTTAATATTAAAATAAACAAGAACTTCCACTAAGTGTACATTTTTTAGATTGGAGGTTATTTAAAATTATAGCAAGATTAAAGATAAAAACATGCTTTAATCATATATAAATATATTTAAATATATTACATTTTTATAATCCAATTTAAGACTCATTGGTCTATTATATTATTTAATAATACCTACTGTTAATATATTGTTACTTATTTAGGTCTTATATATATTTATGTTAAAAAATGTGTACAATATTAATAAAAGTGTATACCATTATTTATTCAATGGTTTAGTTTTTTAACTGTATCCTTTTCAATGTTCAGAGTATGTTTATTTATTTTTTTTGTTTTTCATATTTATACTGTTCAAGTCCTTGTATGAGACATATTATTCAACTAAAATTGGAGAATTTTTATTGAAGTTTTCCTTTATAAAATCATTTAAACATATTGTCGCTATAATTTACATTGTTTACATTTATTTGTAATTTAAGTGTATTATATTATAATATTATGTACCTTATGTATTATTTATAAAAAACGTAAAATGAGAATTGACAAATTTACAGCATAACAATTTCATTATTTTAAATATTTACTCTCTTTTTTCTACTAGAAATATTGCACCAATAGAAAATCACCAGCAGATCTTTTTTTGTTGAATTTTGAATCTAGTTGGTGACCATTAGTCATTTTTCTGATTTTCCAAGCAGTTTTCATAATAATTGGGAAAACGGAAGATTATATGAATATAATACTTTTATTATTTTAAATTTTGGTTTTGTATGTAATCCAGTTAAAAATGTTTTTAGAAACTCGAACTTTTTAACAGAAAACTAATATTTGGTTTTTTGAGACATGATCAATTTTTTTTGATCATTTCAAGCCATTCTTAAGCTATATATTATAAAACATTATAATTTTGAGTTTTTTATGTAATTTTTTATTCAGTTGGTACTCTGTGAATTTAATTGTTAGACTTAACAGAAATGCATGAAAATTTAATAAAAGATTCATTATAAGTAATACTTTGTGGACAAAAAAAAATTTTTTATTAAGTAGTTTATTTTATAAGAATATTGCATTTTGATTGATGAAAATCATAAATATTACAGCCTTTCAAAACATGTCTAACCAAATTTCGGTCTGAATCGGTTTTTGTCACATATAAATATGAATGGAGTTTCTCTTTATAGAGAATTTACTTGGGAAAGTTGGAAGGTAGGATATATACTATTTCCCAATTTCTCACCTATCATGCAAAGTATGTTGTCTATTGTTATTGAACAAATATAGGTAGACAGATTAATGAACAAATAAATGAAGTGTTTTTGAAGTGCGTACACACGCTTAAAAATGCTTGATATTTTGTTACTCTGGTAAGTGTTGACAAATTAAATTAAACACAATAGTACACATTTCAAATGTTTTATATTTTATTTGTTTTTAATGAATTTATGCTTTTTATCACATATTTTACAGACATTTTTTTTTTGAGAATATATACTTGTAATATTATATTTTTGTCACAGTATATTTTTATTATTTTTAGTGCAGAATTACAACTACCTATAAAAATAACTACCATGTGGATAACATTTAGTTTTATAAATAAATAATCATATTAAATTTAATTATGAATTCATCAAAAATATAAAACAATTAAATATTTTTCCACAGAATTTTATTTTTGTTAAAAAAAAAATTAATTCTCCACTTAAAAGTAAAAATTATTTTTAAATAATAGAAAAACAATTTAATTTCCCAATAGTTTATTCATATCCTTGCACAAATTTGGCAACTTCCCAGTTTGGTTTCAATGTAAGATCTTGAATTTCTATGGAGTCTTTGGTAATGACACCAATTTGATACTTATCGTGGCTTCTAGCATCTCTGTAAATAATTTTAATAGAATATTAATAAAACAAAAAATAAACAACTAACTTTTAGGATACATATATTACTTAAGGTAAAGGACTTGAATCATTTGTATACTTGTTTTACAATATTATAAAAATAGAGTAAGAAACAAATTGTTTTATGCGAAGATATAGATATATTTCGAGTCATATTTTATTTAATTAATATTTTCCATAATCACGTTTTTATTTCATTTAATAATACATCCAAAATTGTTAAATTTAAATTTATTTCTATACAATATTGTTGACTGTTTGTGAATACAAGTTTTTTGTCTACCCTGCAACCAGTAATGGATATATTCACGTTTCAGTGTTCTGTGTTTCTAAACGATTAACCACATGTTTTGTTTAAGATTTATTTTATTTTTAAAGCTATTTATTTATATGTGAAATATGCTATAATTTAAATCATTATAATTTTTTTTAATTAAACAATTATTTGTTTAAATTCAGTCATGAAGTGTTTAATTATTTATTATTATTAAATGTTTTTATCTTAAACATTTTAAAAACTATAATTTGTTTTTAAAATTAGAACAATTATCTACAAGGTATACTAAGTAAATTATATTTTTCAAAAAAAAATCTCGATTTTAATTTCAAACTGCATATTTGGTAACGTTTTAGAGCTTTAAGTCCTTATGCCCTACTTATTCCAAACTATACAAATTTGAAAATAGCAAAAATTAATTTCAAAATACCTGTAATACAATACTTCCATGCATTTTTTAAGTAAAGCAACAGCTTCATCTTTTGTTAAACTAGAATTAGATTTTGCACGTTTTTCATCAATAGCTTTTCGTAATAATGGCAATGCAAGGTATGCACCATAACCACTAGCAATTTGTTCATCTGCAAATGCTGTACCCAGTTTATCAATTTCACCCAAAAACGGTTTATCGTTTTGGATTCCAGCAACTAAGAATGTGGACCAAAGTGGCTTCATCTTAGTTCTGCGATTGTACAAAACACGAGAAAGCCATGTATGTAAAGCTTTTGGTTTCAGTGATATACCATCATTCAAACTCTTCTCGGTCGTAATTTTGTCTTCGATTGTATCCCGTATAAACTGGTAATCAGAGTACTCACCTGCTGCAGCAACAATAATGTTTTTGTTCACCTGTTATTAAAAAGATAATGTAAACAGTTTCAAAATCAAATACAAATGTATTATATATTTATTAAAAATTACTTTTATAGGAAATTTATCATACCGTTAATATTCTGGGATTATTTCCAAAACATGCCATTGAACCATATGAAGTCAGTGTGTCAGCAGCTAATGCCACTCCAGAATCGAATACGACACCAAGAACAGAGGTTGTAGTTGTTATTGGAGTCCAACCATGTTGTACTATGTCATGCTGAGCTAAAAAGTGAAAATAATTAGGTAGATATACATCAAACATGTTCAGCAATATAATTAAATTATATATAAAAAAGAAACTAATTCAAATAACATTTTTTTATATATTAAATAATAGTTTTCAATATAAGTACGTACATTGAAATAAATCTAAATAATCAAACCATATTTGATATTTTTACAATGTTGTTTTTAGATATAATGATATTTTATATTGTAACATCATGTATACATGAATTTTAAAATTTAATTTAAACCATAGGTTCAGATATAAAATAATCAAAAAATACAATTTTACAAAATCCATCACACTCTTAACATGATGAGTGATATTATTAGAAACGTCTGACAGAAAAAGGATTCATGCTGATGCCACCATGGATGAATGTAGGAACATACAAAAATTATGAGTCTGCCCCAGGTATTATTAAATAATATAAGTAATTGAGATGATATATCTAAACTTTTGAAGCAATATAAATTCAGATTTAACCCTATTTAAAATAAATTATTAATAAACATATAATGTTACTATATACAGTATTTTAATTCTTTAACAACATAAAACAATTCATCTGTTCATCCTCAAAAAAAAAAAGATATCTAAGGTACCCCTTTAGGTATCAACCATATAACTTAGGTAGATACTTTGTAAAAATTAAATTACGTAAAATAAGTATATTTTACAATTAAATTAAATTTATTAATTTGTCATACATAGCTCTATGTTGTTTCTGTAACATTTAACTGAAATTAGTTAATATTTTTTCTTGAATTTGCTTTATGATAATTTGTATACACATATTATAAAATAAGAATACAGAGTAGTTTTAAAACAAACCTGAACTTCCTGTATTAGGAACACTTTTAAAATTTCCGGGGATCCAATTGTTCAAATGCAATGCCATTATGGAAAGTTGAATAATTTAGAAACCGAATATATGTATTTCTCTCAATCTACCAGCAGCTTTACAAAACAATAAGTATGAACACTAAGCAAGCCAAACTAGAAAGAATATTTGATTAATCATTATTTTGATAATATTTGACATAACCTAAAATACAAATTGATAGTCATTTACCATTGAAAAACATTGACTAACAGTTGATCCGGTTACACTGGAATGTTATCGGTTTTTCGTTTTTTACAGAATATAAGTGAAACTAATAAAGGAGTAGAAATTAATTTAATAATTTTTTCCACTGACAGTTCAAAAAACTAGTTAATTGGTCTAATGAAGGGAACACACAAAATCAAATAAAGTGAATATATTTTTCATTAGCTTCTGCCATGATACCAATGCACAATACGGTAATAATAGTACAATAATTTTCATAGACGGTTATATCATGTTGGCGTCTTGGCGATTTTGTCAATGTTTCATTCCATGACGTTTGAATGTTTGATAACTTCGGAGCAAAATGGTCGACCAGATTTTCGTTGTATATTATTTTTCGTAGTGTGTGTTAAAGTTGTTGAATGTTGTTTACTTACAAGAATTGCTGTGGAAGCTCATCTGTTCTTTTACTTCATGGCTTTGGTTTAATGCAGTGATTCCAATTTGAAACCATGACTCAATTTCTACCGCCCAATTTGTTGGCGCTGTTCGCGCCGAGGGATCCTATCCCTTACCTGCCGCCAGTCGCAAAATTGCCTCATGAAAAGAAAACTCGCGGTTACCTGGGCGTTGGGAACTTTATGGACTTGTTTGAAGTACATACTTATATTTTAAGGAATATTTCTGAATTCAATGAATAATGATTTTTTTCCCCTCAGGACCCAGAAGATACACCTCCACCAACGAAAATTGAAACAAGAGAAGAAAGATTAGAACGCCGCCGTAGAGAAAAGGCCGAACAAGTGGCATACAAATTAGAACAAGAAATTGCATTATGTAAGTATTTTATTGTCTTGAAAATTATATGTATTTAATCAAAATAATCCAAAGGGTAAACCTGATTAATTTTATATCCATCATATTTATTCCAGAATACCTGATTTTTCCTATTTATTATTAAGATTTCCTGGAGATAATCCAAAATGTGTATACTTATTTCTGTTAGTGATTTATCCTTTGCAATAATCTCATATGTTAATGAATCATTTATTTTCATTTAGACTCTCATAATTGAACACATATTTTTTGTTGTTTTTAGGGGAACCTCATTCGGTGGCAAATGCTACAACAGACCCATTTAAAACATTGTTTGTTGCTAGAATTGTAAGTTATTTTTATTTTCTAGTTTTGAATGTTTTAATTTATTACTCTTAAACACTTAATAGCTAGTACAATTTTTCAAATTAAAAATATGAAGAATTAAATTTTTATATTGAAATATAAATAATTATCTGTAGGTATAGCATTTTTAAATTTAACTTTATTACCAGCATTAAATATTGTCAATATTGATAGACTTGTAAGAGATTTGGATGTAATTATTCGAAGCAAGTGCATTTAACTTTGATATCATGAATTTCTGATTTTTAAATAACGTGTTAAAATTTGTGGACATCATTATTGGCGATTGTGGCAAAAGCCATCGCTATGCAAGATTCATGCCAGACCTGTGAGATTTTAAAATCAGTTAATTTTAAATAATTAAGATACCCTAACATTTCTAAACTGATATCCTTGAAGGGAAAAAAATGTTCTAAGTGTAAATCTAATCTTTGATTTGCGAGTCTGTACGTTTAGCTACCTTTAAATAGAGGTAGGTAGTACCTCTATTTAAAATGTTATGTCAAACTTTTAAAAATATAATTTTGGCTGTTTTAACTTGTGTGATATTCCGCGTATTATTTATTATGTATAATAGTGACTAACAGTCTTCAAATTGCTATAACAAAATAATGGTTACTACAAGAAAAAATTAAATTTGTAAAAGACATTGTAAAGTGAACATTAGCCAAATACCAAAATGGTAAAATTATGTAACTTCAAAATTGAAATATATTGACATGTGTTTAATTTTTATGTCATCCTCAATACCACATTTTTAATTTTAAGTTAAATTGAATAAAAACGTAAATGTTTAAAAATAATACACCCTCTAATTAAGATACTTTTTTAATCAATATATCTTTTACCTTAAAAATTTGATGTTCTTTATGATTAAACCATTAATTATAATTTATATTTATTTGTATTTGTATTTTTAATTTAGAGCGTAGTGAGAGATTAATTGATTTTACTTAGATGTGTGCTTTTTTTTTTCTGTATAAGCAATTTTTTGAAAAGAAATCTTGCTCCAATGTACAATGTATATTACCTTTCTGAAAGGAAATTTTGTCTAGTTGGTGTATTAGAAAGTCCATTTTTTGATTTTTCAAGATTTTATATGTTCTTAAATTTGAACATAATTGAAATATTCATTATTAATTCTCAGCAAACATGATGTGCGGCATGAAAAAAATAAACATTTTTACATGTTTTCAATTTCCATTGAAATCATGTCTATACAATATGTTATTTTCTTATTTGTTTAATAAAAAAGTAATAATAAAATTTAATTTCATCAACTTATACCAGAGCATTATTTATATTTTTCAGATATCTATAAATAAAATGAGAGCTGCAACAAAAAATTATTGTTTCCATTTCTGTCATTTAAAATTTAAAATACATATTTATTACTAAATATGTGTACAATCAAATATAAAGTAATTTAAGGTTGATGTAAAATTTTAAATTACCAACTTAAATTGTTTACATATAACAATAAGTTATACCAAAATGTTAAAAAATAAACATTAAAAACTTTAATCCCTTTGAGATATGTAAATGAGTTGACTTACCCTACCCAAAATTTATAATGCATCTAATAAAATTCTGAGACCGCAAATTAAAATATTTTTCATTTATTTTTAATTCCTATAGCTAAGGGTTAGGTTTGGTACTACCACATTTTAATATGTATTCCAGCTTAAAATAACATTTTATTTTACTGATGAAAAAAAACTAATATCAATATATTTTATTTTAATATTTATTTCAGAACTATGATACTTCTGAATCAAAATTGCGTAGAGAGTTTGAACTTTATGGTCCAATCAAAAAGGTATATAATTTAATTTAGAAATTTTAAGCATTTTAAAATTTGTATTAACTCAGGTCCTCTTTATTATAATGTTAAATAGATTGTTGTCATACATAATAAGATTGATGGTAAACCAAGAGGTTATGCTTTCATTGAGTACGAATATGAACGCGATATGCATTGTAAGTAATCAAGATTTATATTTTTTTTAATTTTTCAAAATTCAATTCAGTGATTTCAAATGGCGAATGTTAAGGTCAAGTTCAACTAAACTAGTAAATTTGTTTTTTTACCAATCCATGAATAAATTGCATTTTTTTAAAAAAAAAAATGTATGTAGGTATTAGAGTAAACAATTTCAAATATGTATTTACATGTCTCTTTTTAACCCATGAAGGCTTTCATGTGCTTTCAATGTGCTTTTAAAACTAACTGGTTTTTCCATTATGATATTTTGTATTGTCATTTATCATGGTGTCTAAATATTATATTAATTTTGTTAATTTTTCCATTTATAGTCATAATTTACGATCAAAGCTGAGCCTGAAAATTATTTTTAAAAACATGGACCTTTATTTTGATTGTTTCGCTAGTTTCCATATAAAAACATAGTATTTAATAAATTGTATAACGGCCAAATAATAAGATCAATAATGTTTTATATGTGTACTTTTTATAACTATTAAAATGATAATTATTTGCAAAGTAATTAATTAAGTATTTAAAAATAATATTAAGTAGTGAATGTTTTTAATGTTATCATATGGTAACTTGATTTATCTACAAAACTAGATCTAAAAAAAAAAAATTGTACATCATTACTACTTTGAAAAGGATACCTAGGAAAATTTTAATAAAAAAAATTACACTGACATCAGAATAAACCTGTTTGTTTTTATTAAAAAAGTTATAGAAAATTAATTTTTTTACAAATAAATATTGATTGTTTTTGAATCTAAAATATAAAATAATAAATTATTAGTTATTCAAGTATAATTACAATTATACTTAAATTCTAAAAATTAAAAATATCACAATTTCAAAATAATTATTATTATAGGTAATATATTATGTAAAATAATCCAAATGACATGAATTCATATTAAATACAAAATAAAAAACTATAATAATTATAGATAGATAAGTAGATAATTCTTTATATGTTTCATATAATATATTCAATATCTGTATACTAAAGTAATAGGTTTAAAAAAAAGGCAATTTTTCATAGTGCAATAAAACAATTTACTCCTAAATTTGTTCAAATACACACATTTAAAAGAATTATTTTATTATCTTATTCAAGATCTGAATACTCGCCAATTTTGAAAACATATTTTTAAAATACTGGTTTCTAAACAACCCTTGCGCGTACTTCTATAAATACAATGTTCTTATAAATTCAAAAAAAAAAAAAAAAATTCTGGTACAGTTTTAATAATTGTATTTTGTTCTTGATGCAGTGAACTGTGAAGAGCTCGTTGATTGGAGCTTCTTTAATGACCCTGTGATTATACGTAGACGACTTTGTTGATAATAGGTTTGTATGTGTGGTAAGCCCAACATACAAATTACAAAATGATTAAACCCATTTTATCTACAGTTTCCAATAATTTTCTTACGTACAAATTACTCTTAAATGTACATAACTTATTTCTGTAACTCATAATTTACGGGTAACTAAATATAATTTAATTTAATTTTTTTTTAATTCAAATTCTTGATTTCTCTAAACTAAAAAATAATATAATTCAACTTCTCCATACATTATTTTAATTACAAAAAATGAAAACTTATAGGGCATTATACATCATAGGGAAATTACAGAATATGGTAAACTGTAATGTTATTTGATTAAATAATGGTATATTTTTATTTTATTTTATTTTATTCTTCCGAGCATGATTTATGCAAAGGTAAGATAATATGAAATTGGTGGAAGAAAACACGATATTTTTTTATTTCATTTACATATTCTTTTTATTTTATTTTATTTTACTGGGTAATAATTATGCGCCCATTATGTAAGTATTGGCGTCCCAGGTAAAGTAAAAAAAAAAAATACCGACAAATTTTGGATTCACTTGGCATTTCAAACTGCGCTAAAAAAACAATCTGGGAAATAGCAAATAAGTATTGTTGGTAGGTACTTAAATATTTGTTAATATCTTAATTTTTCTATGTGGGTATTACATTTTTATTTTGATGAGGTTGGTAAGGCCTGGTTCCAAACAGTTTTAAATTTGTGTCAATCTATTAATACATTTCATTCAATTATTAGTTAAATATTTTCATTTAAATAATAGAATCGGGGTGGGTATTCAGTAATTCTCATCAAGAACAACAACGTTTTTTTTACACAATCGTAGTTCAATCTAATTGTTTTCCCCCAATAATATTTATTATAGCTGCATATAAACACGCTGATGGAAAGAAGATAGATGGACGCAGAGTGTTAGTTGATGTTGAGCGAGCACGTACTGTCAAAGGATGGCTTCCAAGAAGATTAGGTAACATTTTTATTAGTTTATCAGATTCTGAAAATGATTGTATTATGTTACTTATTAATCTTAATGTATTGAATTTATATTTGTTTTAATCTAGGAGGTGGATTAGGGGGTACAAGACGTGGTGGACCAGAAGTCAATTTGAAACATTCAGGTAGGGAAGATAATGAACGAGAAAGAGAAAGGTATGCCCGTGAAATGGCTGGTAGTCGTTCTGCACGTAGTGTAACAATGGAAAGAGATCGAGAACGTGATTATCGTGATCGAGACAGAGACCGTGAACGTGAAACAAGACGTCCACGTAGTAGAGATCGTGAAAGAAAACGTCATCGTTCTAAATCGTATGTATTAAATATATTTATAATAAACATATATATATTTACATGCATAGTGGATATTTTTAATACAACTGGATTACAGCAAAAAGTATATAATACAAATTAATCTGCCTGTCCTGGCTAATGTTTTGAACCATTAATCAATCAACTGAATTAAATTGCTTTCGTTGAATTCCTGGTACACCTAAATTAATTTAGTTACACACAATTCAAAGTAGAAACAGGTATTCAAAAATTTTAAATTTATAAAAATGTGTAGCAAAATAATACAAATCTCAGTCAATCTTAGAAATCAATAGTCATATTATTTTAACTGCATATGATTCAGTTAAAATTTAAAAACAAATTAATTATACCAGTTTTTTTGTTTTTGTGTATTTATATATTATGTACAGCAAAAACAAAAACTGAAAAGTAATAAATACTTCAATCTATATTGAAATTTTTATCTGTAACATTTTACTTTTTTGTATTAAAATAAATTGCATTATAATTTTTATAATTGAATAAATCAAATTATTAGACGTTCACGTGAACGTAAAAGACGACGTAGCCGAGACCGTGCTAGGGATGTGGATTATGACGAAGTTGAAGAAGTCCCTGTTACTAAGTCTAGAGATAAGGATCGTGATCGTGAAAGAAAAAGAAAGCGTAGTCGCTCTAGGGACCGTGACCGTAAGAAGGACCGTAAAGACAGAGAACATCATCGCCGTGACAAGTAAAATTTCTTTTGCCTTTTTTTTATCATAAAAACTGAACTATTTTTATTTCATTTCTGTTTTAGAAGTAAAGATCGGCGTGATAAACATGACAAAGACAATTCTGAACGTGATGAAAAAGTTCATATTAAACAAGAACCTGTAGATGGTCAGTATTCTTATTTAAAATTTAACTGACTTACTTCCTATAATTGAAGTGTATATATATTTTTTTTTTTTTTTCTGGTCATTTGATTATAATATATCAGTATCATCTAATAACTTTCAATAAGTGTACCTTAAACTTGATACTTATCTATGCTTCAAAGTAAAACAAAAATCCTTATTCTCTACATGTGAATGTGTGGGGTAAACATTTTCCTTAAACGACACAGTTGTCTTTGAAATATAATTTTAGCTCACTGATTAAATAAAACAATTTTCGATTTGCTGATAAAATTAGGTAAACATATAAATATCCTTATATAAAATATTTAGTGGGGTACTTTATCTATATTTTCTTCAAGTGACCAATAGAATATTAAAACTTTTTATCTAATGTTTACAAAGTCATTATTTATAACTGTTAATAATTATTTATTTTATTTTTAGATTATGATAATTATGACAATTACAACGAATATGACAATTATAACAGTGCCCATGAAGAGTATGATCCAGATATGGTTAAGAAAGAAGAACCAGATGAAGAAAATGCCAATGGTAGTCGTTATAGAAATTCTTATTATCCAAAACCTGAACACAGTGGGGAAGATTTTAATGAGAATGGACAAACAGATAATTATGACGAATAATTTAATAACTGTTGGTAAAAATTATAACTTTATTTTATTATGCACTTTAGATTACAAAATACAAACATTACATTTATTCATACTTTTATAATTATATTATGAAACAAAAATAATAAAATATTAGAAAAACATTTTAATGAAACTAATAGAATACAATTATTTTTAACTGTTGGTTTATATTTTTTAATACAAATTAACATGATGTAAAAATGTAAACCATTTGTATACCAATAATTGTATATTGTTTTATTCAAGTTAGTTCTAAATTGTGTTTTATGTATTCATATTTCAAATATTAGTTTGTTAATAATAACCATTCCTTATTGTTTTTTTTTTTTTTTTTTTTTTTTTTTTCTTTAAAAGGATTAAAAAATTTTAAATAAATAAATAAATATTATAGAAATCATTTTAATAACTGTACAAAATTTTCATGTTTAGTAGAATCTAATTTTTTTTTTCTTCGCTATTAAATTATGATATTACAAGATAAATTATACAACATGTGGTAAATCAGTTTTAGTAATAAAAAAAATTTGATATAAATAAATTGTTTAACTAACATTTACATACATTAATTATGTGGTTTCAAATGAAATTACAAATTAATGCTATATATAATTAAGTGTAAGATAAAAGTGTTTCATGTGACTTGAGAATTCCAATGAAACTTAAAAGTTAGTTTTACATGAGTGTGGTGAGACCGACTATGTTGTATAATTTGAAGTGTTGGGTGGTAACAGAGAATGAATGTATCTGAGATGATTATGTTAGGTTAATGAATGAAGTGACAAGATAAGACAAGGAACGGAAAATAAGAGGTGTAGCTTTAATAGTTGACGAGATGAAAGAAGATAGACTAAGATAATTAGGGCATGTATGTCATTAGGAAATAAAAATCTGAAGCAGTAAAAATGGTAATGGAAATATTCTTATGAGGTAAGAGTGGTAGTAAATGCTGTTGAGAATAATATAAGAACACTTAAGGACAACCAATGTATTTTGGGGGTGGAAGATCGTGTTCAGTGGAAGTTTAGGACGAAGGTGGTTGACCTCAAATGCCTGGCATTCAAGACGAAGAAGAAAAACAAATATTAAGTAGGAATTACTTAATTAATAGATTCATAATAATTATTATTAATCATTTAATTATAAAATTAAATTCAATATATAAATATTGAATATCCAGAAACAAATGTAATTTACTTGACAAATATGGGCCTAGGGTTTTTCGTAATGACTTGTAATATTTTATAATATATACTTAACAAACATTTCAAATAGCAATATAATATAATATATATATTAATTTAATTTAGTTAATAAAATAAAGTATATTATACACCTTGAATATTACTTTAATATCAGGTAATAAATAAATACAAGAAAATACGAAAAATACTAGAACAAAAGGAAATGGAAAAATGCATACAATTTTAATAAAAATAAAGAATATGAAACAATTAACAGACATATAAAGTAGGTACAAACAATCATATTTATGTTAAAATAAGAAAGAAAGGTAAAACAGATCAAAAAATTTGAAAATGAAAGATAGTACCTAGCACAAGTTTATCTATCGCTAATGTCATAATTTAATCTTGTTTTCTAATAAATTCTGATATATATGGTGCATTTGGAATCTATTTAAACGTTTAAAATGTACATAAATTTTATATCAAAATGAATAAATGAAGTATTTAAAATCCAAGACATGCTTTAAAAAATTTTGTGTCAAATTTTTTTAAAATTTAATTAATTAGAAGTTTTTAAATAGGTACCAGAATTATTATAATTAGCTGAAAGAAAATTACACTTGGAATTAATTTTACTATTAATTGTTTTAAGTAAATAATTATGTGTTGAGAGACCAAGGTCTTGATATTTTCAGCATCATTATTCAAAACAATAGCATATTCACTAGAAATGAAACTGGAATCTCAAACTTCAATAATTTATTGTGCTACTATTTGTTGCCATTATTGAGGCCATTGAATTTCTTTATTTCATTATGAATTTTTTATCAGTTGTATTTAAATTTAAATCAATCTTTATTTATGTTCATTAGTCATCTTTACACTTGGAAACACGTTTAAACCTTTATGAAATGTAATTTGTGTGTTAGGAATGATTAAAATCGGAGGTGCATAAAAAACAGAAAAACGAATAATTAGAACAAAATATCTATCAGGAACTTATAATAATTTGTCGATATTTTGTTAACGGGAAGACAAATCCTAAAATCATTAAAAATAGGATTGTTTTTCTAAGAAAAAGTAAATTTTAAGAATCATTAAAATCCCGAATTAATTTTAATGGGAATTGATAAATTCCGGATCCCTCAAATTCACTAACTTTTTTCATAGGAACTTATAAAATCATAAACCGACACAATTAGGAATCTTTTTAGAATTAGTATCAATTAGGTATCGTAATATTATTATTAAAATTAGATAGTGATTTTGTCATAGGTACTTCAAAGTTTATAGATAATTAATATTATTTATACATTTTGGACGTATTCAAAATGTATATAATATAATATATCCACCCATGATTTATTTCCGCGGTTCTTAAACTTTTGGTGCACACAAACCTCTGACGAAAAACTTAGAAATCAAAGACCCCTACCAATACATTTTTTTTTTTTACAAAATATCTTGTGTTTTAATAATCAATATTTACCAATAGAACTACAGTTTAAGAATATCTATATTATACAAGGTAAATTTTTTATTATGACCCAGCAGTTATCTCAGAGAATTCTAAGTGAATTTGATTTCTGTTTTATCTAATCATTATGGAATCGTTTGAGCTTTATTTTAAAACCATTTTTAATTTTTTACCCCTACTCCATATACCTTAAATAAGAGCATACTTTTGATTTTAAAATAGGAACCCCTCTTTTGAATACAGATTTTAATAGAGAATATGTTTATAGAAATTTTGATATGCATCACACAAATATCAGATTTACTGTTTGTGAGTTATAACAAATGAGAAGGGTCTTTGATAGTCAATTTTGTTAACCTTCCCTACTCTTTCAGTCAAAACTTTAAACTGTTATTACTCATAATAAATGGTAAATCTGATATTAGTGTGGGGCATATCAAAATTTCTGGAAAATTATTTTCTATTCAAATATGTATTTAAAAGGTAGCGGAGTTCCTATTTTAACCTGTTTTACTACTTTATAATATACCTATTTATGATTTATTTTGTCATGTATTCACCTTGGGCATTCTTATATATTATCAATGGAATTCTGTAAAAAAAGAACAATTTAAAATATATTAATTAATAATGAAAATTTAAAAAAAATGGTTCTTTAATTGTAAACAATTATATGAAAGAAGGTTTTTTCAAAATAATGAATGGTTGAAATGTATCTTTCATTCTTTATCTTGGTAGTACCCATGGTAGGTACCCATATTTTTATATAATAAATATAATATTACTAGTAGCATAATATAGACTTTAAAGCAAAATAAATTTGTATTGCTGGAAAACTAGTAGTATAATGTAAAGTAAAATACCATTTTATTACTAGAAATTCCCTATGTAGGCCTTTTCATAATTTCATGTTATTATATGAATAAGCCAAATTTAGTCTGTCAATAGTCACTAAATGGTCGAAATTGTTCTAGCATTAAAAATACATTTGAAATAGAAATTTTTAAATTCAAAAGAGGCAGTGAAAAAATAGGTTGTAAATGATTTTTTTTGTAAGAATCAATTATTTTATTTAAAATTTTAAAATTGTTCTTTTTTCCGGGATTCATTATCAATGTGGTGAGGGTTTAAAAACGACGAGATGTTTTACAAGTTTATTTTGATAGCTTATAAAAGTGATAATTTATTACCTATTATTATCAATTATCATAATTAATATTTATTCCTTATTATTATTATTTAATAACATACATATATATCTCATTATTTTATTAATAAGCGACTAATTTGTCTTCTTCCATCTCCGAGGGAGTTTTGTTTATTTCCCCCGCTTTTCATTTTAACGAGAAACATCCTCGGACAAATTTACTTTTTACCGAATTTTCTATGGAGTGATATCACGGTCAAGGTAAACCATTCTACGGTCAAAGGCAATGTTGCCATAGTCGATGTCTAAGAAATAATTTAATTTTGTATCTTCATAAAATAAAAAAACAGTATTGAAAAAATCCAGATTTTGATCTGTTTCTGGTTAGATCGAATGCGTTGATTTTTGAAGAAAAAAAAAACGATCAGGATTTCGATCGTTTCTATTTATGATTTTTCCTCAAATAAAATTCCCCGACAACAAAAATTATGATTTTGATAGTTTCTGACTATGACTAATTTACTTTAAGTAAATAATTATATGTTGAGAGACCGTGATATTGTCAACATCATTATTCAAAACAATAACATATCACTAAAAACTAAACTGGAATCTCAAATAAATTGTATAAAAAAAAAAAAAAAAAAAACCATCCATCTACTTTGATAATTCATAGTTTTCATAATTTCTTGGAAAATGTTTGTCAAAAATGTTTTTTCCTTGATTTTGATAGCCTGTTCTTATTGAGGCTATGTACACAATTATTAGCCTACCTATTAGAACCTTTATTAACTAATTATAATTACTTATTTAGTTTCGTATAGGTACCTATATAATTCGGATGATAAATCACTTAATGTACTATCCATAATAAAGCTATAATTCTGTGAATAAGTATAGGTATTGTTTAACATAGTATAGTTTTGGTTGATAATAATATTAATATAGTTAATGATTTCATTAACTTTATTAGCTTTTAATTCATTGCCTCGTGTAAGTTTATCCTCGAGTACCTTACCAAGTGTTTATAATTTTGAGATTGACGCGTGCATATTTTGGAAAAAATGTTGGAGTACAACTACCTATCAACATGCAGTTGACTGACAAGCATTTATGAATAATGATACACAACTTATATTTCAGTACCTACCCAAAGCCTTCTTAAAAACATCCCCCCCCCGTGTATTTTTATTTTTAATCACCTGGACAAAATATGTTCTTAAATTAATTAATAGAAAACAATTAGGTTCCTATCCAAACAGGTCTCATAGTCTCGAGTTGACAACGCCTCAGCCTAGTACTTAACCCTATTTAATGTTTATACAGTATTAATTAATGGTACCATGAACTAAAATGATATTAGTTTTTGATGGTACCTACCTACGTTTAGGTATTGTGGACTGTGGTGCATTCTGCATAGTGGTTTTATTTGCCATATTTTTCATGGCACAAAAACAAACGAATCCGTGATAATTCAACATAACCTAGCGAACGCTAAAATCGCGTTATAAAAAAAAAAAAAATAATAATAATAATACCATTTCACCCAGTCACCACTACAACTGGTGATAGTGTGTCGTATTTTGAAACTTTATTGCCAATTCTTAAACAATATATATATATATTTTTTTTTTTATCTTTTGTGAAAGTCTTCGCGTTCCATGTTGTTACAACAATTCATTGCTTAACGTCGATCCCGTGTGTTTATTCTCTGGTTTATTCAGTCATTCCGGCCGTACAAATTCGTGTGTGATACAATATAATATACGGGAAACGAACGCAACATCGCGTATCAGTCGCGAAGTAGACGGGATAAGAATACCGTTTTACAAATAAATTATAATCGTGACCAAAGAATATTATTTTGAGGTTCCATTGTTCTACCGTTATCGGAACGACGTAAACGTTTTTATTAATATTTTATTTCCCGCACCGAGTAGGTACGTAGGTATCTACGGTCAACGTCCTGTAAAATGTTTAATGCGATCAAACGTTTTCATTATTTAACAGACGACCATCGTGTGCCAATGGTAATTGTGTGCCTGCAATGAGTAGTGACCCTCTGGGACGAAGACGCACGAGCATCATGAATAGTACGGTACCCAAGAAGAGGGGCAACATGCGGGTAAAGGCGTTCCCGTCTCGCACCGACGAAAAGTTTGTCGACAGTACGTGGGCTATGCTGAAGAACGCCATACAGGAGATACACAAGAAAAACAACTCGTGTCTGAGTTTCGAGGAGCTCTACCGTAATGCTTACACAATGATATTGCTGAAGCACGGCGAACGACTATACAATGGCATGAGGGAAACCGTTTCTGCACACTTGGAATCCAAAGTCCGAGCGGACGTGTTGAACTCATTGAATAACAATTTCCTTCAAACACTGGACGAATGTTGGAGAGATCATCAAACGTCAATGGTTATGATAAGAGATATTCTGATGTACATGGACAAAGTGTACGTCAAAAATAACGAGGTAGACAGTGTGTATAATCTTGGTCTCGTTTTGTTTCGCGACATAATAGTACGACATGACCGTATAAAAGATCATTTACGTGAAACACTGTTGAGCATGGTAATGAAAGAGAGAAACGGCGAAGTCATTGACCGTCTTGCACTAAAAAGTGCCTGTCAAATGCTTATGATACTAGGAATAACAAGTAGACTTGTTTATCAAGAAGATTTTGAACGCCCATTCCTTGCTCAATCCAGTGAGTTTTACAATGTTGAAAGCCAGATGCTTTTAGCCGAAAACAGTGCTTCCATTTATATTAAAAAGGCTGAATCTCGAATAAATGAGGAAGCCGAACGAGCCAAAAACTACCTCGACGTTTCTACAGAAAGCCGTGTAATTCAAGTTGTAGAAGACGAGCTTATCAAAAAACATATGAAAACCATTGTTGAAATGGAAAATTCTGGATTTGTATTTATGTTGAAAAACCAAAAAACTCAAGATCTTGCTTGTATGTATAAACTTTTAAGTAATTTGTCTGACGGTCTAAAAACTATGTCTGACTGTTTGAGTAAATATTTACGAGAAGAAGGCCGTTCTTTAGTAAAAGAAGAGGATACTAATTTAAATCCTGTCACTTATGTACAAAGTTTATTAGATCTCAAAGACAAACTTGATTATTTTCTTTACAATTCATTTGGAAGTGATAAAATGTTTAAACAAACAATATCCTCAGATTTTGAACATTTTTTAAATCTGAACCAAAAATCTCCTGAGTACATGTCATTATTCATTGATGACAAATTGAAGAAAGGAGTTCGTGGTATGGATGAAAACGATTTAGAACCAGTGCTTGACAAAGCTATGGTATTGTTTCGATTTCTCCAAGATAAAGATGTTTTTGAAACATATTACAAACAACATTTAGCAAAAAGGTTATTGTTAAACAAGTCTGTTAGTGATGATAATGAGAAAAATATGATCTCAAAATTAAAAACTGAATGTGGATGTCAGTTTACTTCCAAACTTGAAGGTATGTTTAAAGATATGTCTCTATCAAACACAATAATGGATTCATTCAAAGAAAACATGACAATTTCACCATCATTAAACTACAATAGCATTGATTTGTCAGTTCGTGTGTTAACCACTGGTTTTTGGCCATTACCAGCAACTACTCCTAAGTGTAATGTACCCAGTGTAGCACGTTTGGCATATGAGGAATTTCGAACTTTTTATTTGGGTAAACATAATGGACGCCAACTTAGACTTCAACCACAGTTGGGATCAGCAGACATCACGGCTATTTTCAATGAAAATGTTAGGGATAATAGTTCAACGTCCATTATAAGCTCAAATGGAAGTGGTAGTACTGTTGTATCGACATCAAACTCTGGAACTACCCCAAATCATAGTAATAGTTCATCATCTGTACGTAAACATCTCTTCCAAGTATCGACATATCAAATGGCAATATTAATGTTGTTTAATAGTTATGAAAAGATCACAATGGAAAATATTATGAATGAGACAGACATCAATGAAAAAGACCTAACCAGAGCATTACAATCATTAGCAATGGGAAAACCTTCACAAAGAGTATTACTGAAGAATCCTAAGACTAAAGAGATTGAACCTCATCATGAGTTCTCTATAAATGAATCATATTCTTCTAAATTGTATCGTGTAAAGATTCAATCAATTACTACCAAGGGAGAAAATGAACCGGAACGTCGAAAAACTAAGGACAAAGTAGAAGAAGATAGAAAACATGAAATTGAGGCAGCACTTGTACGTATTATGAAAGCTCGTAAAAAGTTAACGCACAATACACTTATTATGGAAGTAACCGAACAGTTAAGGAGTAGATTTATGCCATCGCCAGTGCTTATTAAGAAACGTATAGAGTGCTTAATTGAAAGAGAGTATTTAGCGCGTACACCAGAAGACAGAAATACTTACAATTATGTTGCTTAAAAATCCTGTTGTATCGCCATCTATATATACTGTATATATATACATATTAACTAAGGTAAATATTTTAACATTTTTTTTTTTTTGTTAGCAATAAATTTAATTTAAAGTATATTTATTATAAAACAATATTTTAATGTCTAGTATATTAGGTGAGCTAGCAATTAGAAACTGCACTTGTAATTTATATTTAATTATCTAAATGACTTATTTGAGATTTATTTTCAGTACTATGTTAAAGTTTCTCGTCTTTTATGAATAGGTTATTATTTAATACAAACAAAACTATACAAATCAACCCTCATATTTCCTTTGGAAAATTTAATATATTTACTTAGTTATCCATTCACTGATATTAAATTTCTATTATATTATTTAAAATTAGGTTGTTTAAACACTTATCAAATTTTATTATTTCTATTATAAAATTGGATTAACGTTTATGTTTATGAAGAATTTAACAATACTTAACAAATTTAACATTAATTTACCTTAAAACAAGCCCTTTATACATGTTAAAATACAATTTATTATGTGTTTATTTGTAGCAATATATTTTAATGAAATTCAAGATTTTTATATATGATACGTATTATTACATTTTTTAGGTAAAATATTAATTGTACTGTAATTAAAAAAAAATTAATCTGCATATTTTACTACCTATGATGCTAATGCTATGTCTAGGTAGTAGTATTAAATATTATTATTGCATTATAGCCTATAGATTAATTATAATTTTGTAAGTTTCTAATTAAATTTCTTTATCATATCGGATAATTCATTTTTAACAGTAAATTTAATTGTTGAATTTTTGTTTTAAGGTATTTGCCTGAATGCATATAAAACATTCAAACAAATGACTAATAATATATTCTCTTAAAACATTTAATGTATTATATGATGGGTATATCTAAAAAAAATATAATACAGTATGTTTAATTAAAAGTACTCTTTTTGGCTAATTTATTATTTACTTACATATGCCTATATAATGAAAATTTTGTTTGTATAACACTCATTTACTATACACAATATAAATCTTTTAATTTAGATATTACATAATCAAATTATTGAGTATAGATAACTTAGCAGCAATAGCTGTTAGATTGAATAAGGTTTTGTATTAATTATAAAAATAAATGTACATTACCATTAGGAGTCCCTAAATTTTCCCTTGTGCCACAGTTATATAATGATATTTAAACATATTTATATTTCACTATTTGCTTTTTTTTTAGTTATTAGAATTTTGTTTTTTTTTTTGTATAAACTAACCATAACTCAAATTAATTTGTCTTTAGTAGGTAAACACATATTAATATTTTATGTGGCTTATAAATGGCTATTAAATTATTTAAAGAATGTAACTTTTACAAAGCTAACTTTATTACTTGATCATTTAAGATTTTGAGTGGAGCAAGGAATGTATTGTTTTTACAATGATGTTTAATGTTATTATATATTTATTTTTTTTTGACAACATTTCCACCAGCAATTTTGCTCCAATTTACAATTTTTGCACTTTTTCTGAAAGGAAATCCGACTGGAGTGGTACTTTAGGGAGGTCATATTTTGATTTTTCTAACAAGTGGAAAAATAGGTACAATATTAAACAAATATTATTAAAGGAAATATATAACGTATATGTAATTATTTTACCATAATATGACATGTATATTGTTGACTAAGAAACATTATTAACTAAACTCCACTCAGAATTGTTTTTCGTTAGAAATAGTTAATCGTTGCATACGGATACACATTAAATTTCCCCTCTACTACCTTCTTAACTTCTCACCTACAACAATGGCCCACCAACATGTGAAATATATGTGTTTTTTTATCCTCATCTTCTTAATAATCTTTAAATATAGTAACAATTTTGGCTATATTGTTATTTATTTATCTTTATTTCCATTGATATTTTCAAGTGTAAAATATGATGTATAGTTATTCTATACATGTTCTATATGTTATTCTCTAATGAATTTTCAAAACCATTTATAAATCCAATTTGTATATACCATATTTTAATCAGGCAAATAGAAATTTCATAATAAGATAAAAAAAAAACAAAAATTTGTTTTAACATAAATACTATCTAAATTTTTTTTTTTTTTTTAACTCTAAATTGGTTTTGAAAAAAAAAAAATAGAAAATAAAATTGGAGTACATAAATGCGTTTAAGTTTATCATCCAAAACTAAAATATTTGTATTAATGAATAGATTTTATGGATTTTATTTGAATTTAAAAACCCAAGTGTTGTATCAAGTACAAAAAATGACCGAATAATATATTTGAAAATTATTACATTACAGTTATTTCTTTCACAACAACATAAATATTCCTTGCATTTAATGAGGAAATAAAACAAATTCAAGTTGTTTAAATAAATTTGTATTTCTTCATATATATATATATATTAATCAAGATTTAATGTTTTATTTAAGATTTGAACATTTTTGGGTAATTGCTACAACTGTTATTTGCTAATACAAGTGTACCATATAAATGTATCTATTGTATCTACTTTACAACTTTTTTTTAAATAACATTATTTAACTTTTAGATTATCGATTAGTACAGTGAGTTATGACGTATTATTTTCAAGAGTTAATGAAGATTTAAGTTTGAAATGATTACATCTTAATAATTTAAAACAGTATTAATACACAATATATACAATTTTAGATATACATTCTTTGTTAATAATAATAATAAATTAAATTAATGTATGTTTATTTTTATTTTACAGATAATTGGTATTCAAGGAGGAAAAATACATTTTAAAATACTTAAGAACACATAATTATCAAAATTACTTATTATTTAATTTTAATTGAATAATAATAAAACAAATTAAAAAAGCCACCAATTCTATATAATTTATGTTGTTTTTTTATTGATTAAAATACAACTATTCTAATATTATCTGTGTTAAATTTAAATATTTACTATTACATCAACCTATTTTAATTTGTTTAACTTCAGGTTATTAAACAATTTTGAGAACTTTAATTATTTGGGTTTGAAATGTTTAATTTTTCTGTCAACATAATAATACTTATTAATAACTACAGTAAGTTCTGCTCATTGTGATCATTACCCAGTGGTAATAGAATCGTATGTTAATTCAGTGGAACTCACCGTATATATATGTATAACACAAATAATATGAGATGATATGTTTTTCAAAACAAATCTATATATAATATTGTATAAAAACTGATACATATATCATGATTATGTTTTTATTATAACTAAGTGAAATGTATTTGTAATAAATGAAATAAATAATTCTGATATGTACTCTAAATATTATTGTCGCATATTTTGACCTGTCTGCCTATGTTGTCATGAAATAGTTCTTAATTTCTATTTTATAAAAACGTAAAATTTAAGATAATATTTATATTTTTAAATTGTATTATTATTACTATACATTTTAAAACAATTATCACCGAAGTTAAATTTGTGTTCATCCGGGTCACTATCAAACATATGTGTATAGCCGATTTAAGAACAATGGTGAAGTCAGAATTGAGTGGCAGTGGACTGACTAAGTTTTGAAATTATAGCTTTTTGAAGGTCTGATATACAGATATAATATGTTATGTTAACTCTTATATTGTCTAATTATCATGTTTGCCGTAGTCTAACGGTTATAGGTGCTTATTGTCATCTTAGGGATCGCGACTTAAACTCGGGTTTAAAAAAAATTGTATTTATTTTTCTCTTTTATCTAAACACGGAAAGAACAAATTAATTTTAGGTGTACCTAGACACTCGGCTGTCGCTCGCTCGGACTAGGTATTTTAATTAAATAATACCGTTCGATTTGTTGTGTAAACTTTTCTACCAGAAACCTTATTTCGATTTTTAAGTGTAGCATTTTTTTTGAAAGGAAAATTCGACTGGGGAGGTACTTTAAGATCATTTTTTGATTATCCCAAAAAATGAAAAAAACGGGAGAACAGGAAAATAGGTAAAATATTAAACAAATATTATTAAAGAAAATGTTTAATGCATATGTAATTATAACACTTTACCATAATATCACATAAAATATGTTTGTATAATCTTTATTGGTGGAAAAACTCCATTTACTAAACAATGTAAAAAAATATATATATATATATATGTATATAAAATTGTGTAGTAACACAAATACAATAAAATTAGGTACGAATAATATTAAAATTCATATAATTAAGTACATATTATGTGGTATATAATTTTACAGCTACAATTAATTATTAACTAAAATTAATATTGTTAGTGTTTCCTATAATCATCAATATATTCGGAGGTGAAGACTTTAAGTATGATTTAGAAACATTATTCATTTAAAAACTTTCTGGATATCTGGCGGATTCGGTGTTAATTCGAAAATTTAATCGTTCCAATAAAAAAAAAAATGGCAATCTATAGAGTTATTTAATAGTTTCAACTAAAAATGGATAATGAAGGTTACTTCTCTTTGTATTTAAAGACATAGTATATTGAAATAAGATAATACTCAATTATAATCTAAATGCCGTGGACGTTCAATTTTAAATTTAAATTTAAAAAAAAAAACGATATTGAACAGCTTCGAGATTATGAGTTACCTTTATGTTATTTGAAGACCAAATTAGGGATGCATATTCTAATTCGGATCTGACAAATGCAAAATATATATTTTTAAAATCATTTAAATTGTTAAAATTTTGTATTGTCCATTCGACAATGGACATTAGCTTTATTATAATTTATTAAATTATTTATAATTATTATATTTATTATTTAAGGTAATCGGAAACTTGTTTCATAATGTGTGTGTGTGTGTATAATAACGGTGATTAGCATAGAATAAATATTACGTGGTCAGCAGACTGACTGACGATTGTCGTGTTTATTATAACCGCACCACGGTAGTACGGACCGCGGCAACTGATAAGCTGATAAGAAATATAATAATTTGGAATTGCGGTGTGTAACCGGTGTGGCTCCCATAGGGTATGCTACACATACGTCGTATACTCTCGACATTTTGCTGAAAATTCACGGATATACTGCGTATACTCGAAAAGAGTTTTGATAGTGAAAATAGTGAAATAAAAATGTAAAAAAAATGTTTCAAATTCGTCATGCTGTATAATGTATTTATCGGTGCCCGTTCACAACATCTTACATCACTTAAACCATAATAGTACATATTTTATTTATTTCGATAATTCTAATTAATTAATTTTTTTTTTTTTTTAATTTTCAATCCTATTTTTGATATTTTAATTTAATTTTTGTAAATTGACATTTATTTTTCTTTAAACAGTACAAATCACACAACAAATATAAAAAAACTCGATGTAACGCAGAATGTTATAGTATTCTCTCAAAAAAATTGATAGGAACACTATTGAATGTAACACCTTCCCTTTAGAAAAAAAAAAAAAAAAACAATACAAGTATAGAGTAATACTCAAAACAATAAATAACTAAATAACTAAATAAACCAATGAAAATAATCTTAAACGTACAGCAGATACAATATAAAATATGCATAATAACATAATATTGTAGGATTATAAATTACACGAAATTAATTAGAAAAATTATTAATATAAGCTGACGAAAATTGAAACAAAAAAAATAGTACACAAATTGCCAAAACAACAATTCTTAAAATAGTAATAATTACATATCTAACCGATTAGGAATTTTAATACGTCTATGACGTGTCCATTTGGATTTTTCAATATTATAATTCGTAACACCATTATTAGTCATAAACTGTTTACCCGCTGGTCTGAGGTGAATAATATCACGTCGCTCATTACGACCATTTTTATCACTAAACGCATATGATTTGGGTGTATTATTGTTTACTAATTATTTTACCCGGCTTCCGTGTACTGGTTTTTAAATCCCTAAACATTATATTTTGATTAGGATAAAAATCTACATATTTTTTTTTTAATTTTTGCATTTCTATCTAATAACATTTTTGTCCTTTCAGATTTATTTTCACGATACGACTTAAAACTTTCTACCGGAACCTGGCTTAAGTGATTTGTTAAGAACAGGTATTTTAGATTTTAAAGTACGACTCATCAATAAGTGCGCTGGAGAATATTACCTACACCCAATAATAACACTATTTCTGTACTCCGATAACATTAACTGTATGCCGGCCTTACTCTCTTCTACCCTTTTCAAAAGTGATTTTGCAATACCAACTCCTTTTTCCGCAAGACTGTTCGATCTTGGACATCTAGGGCTTGTTGCAATTACCGCAATACCCCGCTCATTAGCAAATTGAGAAAAATCTGTAGAAATAAAAGGCGTATTATCAGCGATTGACTGTTCGGGAACACCATGAGCGGAAAAATAACTTTTAAACCTTGTATTATCCGAGTTGCTGTTTTGAAGGATAAAATATTCGACTCTAACCAACCGGGGAATAATAACCCATCAAAACTTAATAAGATTGCTTACCAAAAATTCAAAATATCACACGCCACTTTAACAAATGAACCTCGTGAGATAACATTGGACCTCTTGTATTTTCCGTTCTAAACTTTTGACACACTGCACAATTACCAATATCACTATGTAGAGAAGATAAGGTGGCGCCGTTCTCGTATATTTCAATGTTACGGTATTGACGCGAAAAATTACGGCAAACTGGCTGTTCACCAGAGTGCGCTAGCATTAGCCCGTAGGCCGGTTTTTATATACGTTTTATAGGGATTTATTATACTATACGCGTACTGAGTTTGAGTTAAATGTTACATTGTTATAATTATATTATATATTATGTTTATTCAAATTTTATAAAATTATATGTATTATGTACAAAAAACAAATAATTAATACCTTCCACTGTTTATAAATGATAATAGAATTAATTATTAAGTTTTAATTTTAGAAATAAAATTACCAATGTTTCCCCACATTAGATATACTCGTGGTTTTTAATTTTTGTAATATTGTTTAAAAATAATAACAATTCGTGAAACTATTTAATTAACTACGTAAAGTTCGTGATAATACGTGTACATTATGAATGATATCAAAACTGATAAAAAAAAAAAAGGAACGCTTAATGAACAAGTTATTTTTTTTTAAGGAACGAGAAACGAGAACGAGTTCCTTTTTTTAAAAAGGAATGTTAAAAACACTGGCTATATTTGATACTCTGGAGCATAATGTCTGGTTGAATTTTTGTACACAAAATAAAAAAAATATTGCTAACGAAAAAACGATTCTGAATGGAGTTCAGTTGATAGTGTTGCTTTGTGAACAATATATATGCCATATTATGGTAAAATTATTACATAGGCATTATATATTTTCTTTAATAATATTTGTTTGATATTGTACTCATTTTCCCGTTCTTCCTACGTTTTTCTAGGTTTACTCTTTCCCATTTATTGGGAAAATTCCTTGGAAAATCTAAAAATGACTTCCTCATAATACCTCCCCAGTCAGATTTCTTTTAAGAAAAAGTGCTATCATTTTACATCGGAGTAAAATCGCTGGTAGGAAAGTTGAATAACAAAAACAATTTTTTAAGTATTGTTATTGTTATAATAATAACTTTTAATATAATATATCAAGTTATAATATTCCTGAAGTGAATTTCTTATATGTATAAATATTACACCGAACCAATGAACGCCGAAACATCGTTATTGTTAGGAACCAACATCAATATCTTCACCTAGTAATATCATTAACATAACCTACTAGCTATTGTAAATATCGTGTTGTAGCTATTGTATTGTAAATAACTAAAAAGAAATACATTCGACTAATGAAAGGTTAAACAATTTATTTACTGATGAATCAGAGAAGCGTTACCTAAGACAGTAATAAATACAGACTGACTAACTCTGATTACCTACACAACGTAGCTTAACACATAGTAATATTAATAAAAATAATGATAATAATGTCTTATATTTGGCCCATAAAAATCAAAAATAAAATAAATTTTAACATGAACCAATTATATAATAAATAGTAACCAATTTTAAAAATCTATTCGACAATATAAAAAATATTAAATAATATTAAACATAAAATAGTTAGCTACGAGTATAAATAAATAAATCATTTCTGTTAAATACAAATATTAATACATCATAATAATATAAGCCTAAAAAAAAAAAAATTGTATACAACCTAATTTTAACTAACGATGTGGTTTACGATTGCCACTATGTTGCAGGTTGTTATTACTTTTTTGAACTTGTATCAATAGTGTTGGAGTTGTATTTTCTTGTTTATCTGACATTGGTGTTACAGATGTACTTTCTTAAATTTTACCTGTTTCATCTAAATTTGGTCTGTTATGAACTGACTTGAGGGACTGCACATAAATTATCCTTAAAAACTTTCTGTTTAGTGACTTTGCTTTGGTAATCTGTAGCAAACTTCTCCAACTAGACGTTTAAAAATGAAAGGTCCTTTAAAACCTGGTGTAAGTTTTGTGTTTTTTATGGAAGGACTGCAATTACATCACACTAGTTGACCTGGTTGAAAGTTTTTTTTTTAAAATTGTTAATTATAAAGTTTTGTTTTCTTACATTTTCTAAAAAATAAATTCAGAAAATAGTGAATACTTTTCGAGATAATGACTGTTATACGTTATGGTTATTGACACTGTTTTAGCCCCCCCCCAAAAAAGCATCAATTCTCCGTCTATGGGTATACGTTCTAAATTGACTGAATGAAACACGTGTGTTTTAAATATATTTTCAAATATTCACCGCGGCTCGACGACTCGAGTTATCCTATACTATTTTATTTTCCACCGAGAGCATTACCACAGCATGTGTGCGAGTTGTGTGACTCGAGTTTCAATCGCCATTATAATTAGGTATCCTGTTAGTTGTTACTATAATAAGATTATATTATAGTCGGCTAACCCCCAAGAAAACCTCGTAGCTCGGTTTTTTTGTGTCTACAGTGAACAATTTATCTACCAGGAATCCTGTTGCTCCAACTTAACAGGAGCTTACTTTTAAAATGTTTTCTTCTAGTAATGTGCATTGGATAGGTCTGTTTTTGATTTTTCTAATAGTTTTCTTAATACTAGTTTTTCTTGTTACAGTTTCGTAAAATTTGTTAAAATCGGCTGTCAAGGTTTTGCTGATAATTGCCGACGCCAGATAACTGTTTTATCCGGCTTTGTCCGTGTCAGTATTGAACTAAATAAATAAAAATAAAGGCTGTCCTAGGTTAATGCGAAAGGGTGTAGCCACTGTTATAGGTAATTTAATGTATATCTGTAAGCAACGATAAATCATTGCTAACGAAAAAACGATTCTGAGCGGAGTTCTGTTGGTAATGATGCTTTATCAAAAATGTATATGTCATATTAAGGTAAAATAATGAAATGGGTATTATATGTTTTCTTTGATAATATTTGTTAATGTTGTACCGATTTTCCCGTTTTCTCCCGTTTTTGTTCGATTTTTCACATTTATTGAAAAAACTCCTGGGAAAATCAAAAAATGACCAGCTTAAAGTACCTCCTCAGTCCAATTTCCTTTCAGAAAAGGTGTTACACTTAAAAATTGGAGAGAAATTTCTGGTAGAAAAGTTACTTACAGATAAAAAAAATAAATAAATATCTTTATAAAACCATAAGCTTCTTCACTTCACTCAGAATCTAAAACTTGTCTCCTTGTGTTTTCCTGTAACCAGTTTCAACCTCTGTCACAGTTAATCGTTATTGTCTGTTAATTTTTCTTAGAGAAAAAAAACTACTCGTGCTATAAGAATATTATTCTTAAAATAAGTTGGCTACATTGTATAACAAATGAACTCGTTCGTAGAGCTGGAGAGGAAAGAAATTTCCCTAAAACAGTCAAAATCCTGAAGATTAGAAAAATTAAACTAATTGGACATACGCTTGGTCACAACAATGCTTTAGAAAGTATAGTAATTGATGGGTCCATCAAGAAAGGGAAAATTAGTCTAGATCAGTGGCAGATACAAGGGGGGAGAATAGGGTGATTGCTCTCCTTCCCCTCTTGGGGTGTATTTTTGACGTATCTCTTGTATTCTACAATTGTTTATATACGCATATATATTATGTATATATATTTTTTTAAACCCACCCCATTTAAGCAATCTAAATCCACCACTGGTTTGGAAATTTGACTATAGGGTGCAAGTTTATTATAATGGTAATTTCCCCCCCCCAAAAAAAAAAATCAATTTCAACATTTAATGTATTTAATAAAATCTCGAAAAGCCTAGAGAGAGCAAATGTCCGATTCTCTTCTCTCCCCCTTTTGGGTGCATATGGTATGTATTACACAATGATAATAATAATTTGTGTGCATTTTCAAAAAATGAAAAATACTCCATATTTAAATTAAATAGACAATATTATTACAATATACACCCAGTGTTACGGAAAATTCCTTTTAAAAATGAATGCATTCCCATTCATCATTTCTCATTTTTATAATAAATTTATTTCATATTCACATTCATCCAGGGACGTAATTTGAGATATTTAGACTATGCTTTGGCAGTTCTATATTTTTAAATGTATTTTTGGCCCATACTAAATGTTATAATTGCACTGTTGTCGATAAAATACAAAATGTAATCGAACCATAGCCAATGGCCGCATTTACAGGGGTCCAACCGTTTGAGATGTGAGAGTGAGATACGGGGGATTATTACTATGGTTAATTGTCAACTGTCAATTGCTATCAAGGCTAACAGAAAGATCATAGTGCACGTAAAAACTGATGTCACGTGGAGTAAATTCTGGTACAACGAGTTAAGTATTTAAACTAAAATTAATTAAGACTGTTTAGTGTAATGTTAACAAATCTTGTATTTAAAAATTAAAATGCAAAACAGAAATATGAAAGTAAGCGAGCGAAGCGAACGGATAGTCTTCAGGAAAACTGGCCTGATTCAAATGTTTGCATTTCTATTGAAAAACTGAAATGACGTTCCTACATTCATCAAAATTTAGAACGCATAAAAAAAAAAAAAAAAAACTGTTTGCAAAAAATATTGTAAATAAAAATATACGATAGGTTATGTAGATATATTTTTCTATAAATTCTAAAAAAAAAAGACGTCTATATTTTGTTTGGAATTCTATTATTTGTATTTACATTTGACAAAAAATGAATGAATTCGAATTCGCCATTCCTTAAAAACAAAAGTAATTTCGTCTATGAATATGATGAACGTTTTCGGGCTTTCCTAAACATGTATACTCTTTCCACGCTGATTGTACAATGTTACAATTATTAATCTCATATTAATATAAAAATATATCTATTCAGTGAGTGCATACATATTATATAATATAAATAATAAATAAATGCAATAAATATAATACTGTTATAATAATTCTTCTTCTGGAGTTTCGTCCCACTTGTAGCACGCATCACCGATTGTATTTTACTCCCACGACAAAGATCAAAAACCGTTCAAACTTCGTAAAAAAAATTACTGTGTATCTACAAATATAATTTTCGTACAAAAACAAAAAAAAAAAACGTACTAAAACAATAAAAAAAAAAAATAAAAACGTACCTAATACGAAGTCGACGCGATAATAATATTATTGTAACTATTGGAATGTTGACATTTTGACAGTATTGATAATGCTGTAGTCATTGATATAATTATAGGTATAAAATATATTAGGTAAATTAGAGAAAAAATTGGGTAGTGCTTTTGTCCCGTGTGCATTGTACAGAATTGAGCGTACAATAATCCAATAGTATAAATTATAATACCTACTGCTAAGTTGCTTTACGGCTCATCTTTATATAATTATTATTTGGTATAGGTATTTATTTGACGCGTTTTATTTTATTTGTGGTTTCGGAGCGATGAGAACTATTTAGGTGTAGGTACAATTACTATCATTTTTTTTTTTCCATTTCTAATGTCTTTATTATCATTTTTTTTTTCGTTGCCGTTTTTTTCTTCTTTCGGTGGAAACACACGTCTGCTCTTTTACCTGCATCATACACACACACACACACACACACACACACGCATACACACACATACGCAGTACGCAAACACACATGATGAACAAAACCGATCCCGACGGAATACCCCCATCTGTTCTTCACTCTTTGTAACCCTCGTGTGACTACTACTGCTGCTGCTGCCTCGGAGCCGGCCCATATTCTCCTCATAAACACACACACACACACACACACATACACACACACCACAAATGTATATATTATTGTATTAACACGCACACACACCTCTCGTCCGTTTTTATTATTATTATTGTGTAAACCCAGCCTATATTTTCGTAATTCGATTTCAGTACAGATTCACGTCCTCGTCAACGCGGTCGTGTTTGTTGTATACGGAGTTCTATAGCCACTATATTTATACTACACGTATATAGTATTGTAACACTATACGCCCAGCTTTTAGACGTCGAAAATCGTTCGTATCGCGTAAAAAAAAAATAAAAACAAAATAAATAATAATAATAATAATAGTAACGATAATTCGAACACCTCTACCTGTATTGACGGTTATTCGCGTGCATTCCCGTCGTCGAAATCGAAATCATCGTAAAACGCGCGCAATGGAAATTATCACGAGCACTAATCGATTATTCGTAATGGTCCGCGTCGCATAGTCGCTGCAGCAGTCATTCATCGTCGTACCGTATCATGCAAAAATCCACATATTCCGTACAGCAGGTAAATAAACACGAGACGATTAAATTTTGTGTTTTTTTTTTTTCTTTTTTTTTTTTTATTACATAGATACGTACGCGAATGTTAAACGCTTTTATCCATAGGGCGCGCGGTGTCTCGTCGTTGATATTTATTCTAGTAGTAGGCGTTTACGCGTAACAATAATATTATGTCACTGGGCGAAAAGTCGTTTTTATCTATTCGCGACTATTGTAATATTAATTAAACCACACACAAGTGGGCAGACATACCTATTAACAATCGGTACGACGTAAACAAACGTTTTCGCACTCCCTTAATACCTTGACGGTTAATCGCGTCGTCAGCGAACGGGTGGAGAGGAAGGGGGGGGGGTAGCTACAGGCGAGCGTCAGGTACTCGATTCTCGATTGTACACCGCAAATGGTTACGAGAAAAAGTGCGTTTTCCTCAATACAAATAATTTAGCTGTGTAAAAAAATTCCCGTGATAAATGTTTCCGGTTGCATTAAAGTTTAAATTATTATCAATTCCGTAAATATTTGACACTCGACGTTTTGTTTTTAATTTTACGAATAATTGTTCAAATGTGCATCAT